TTTTAGTTTTTTTCTGCCCGAGGCAGCATGTCGTCAAGTCGTCAGAGGTCGTCAGAGGGTAGTCAGAGGGTCGTCAGAGGGTAGTCAGAGGGTCGTCAGGGGGTAGTCAGAGGGTCGTCAGAGGTCGTCAGAGGTAGTCAGAGGGTCGTCAGAGGGTAGTCAGAGGGTCGTCAGGGGGTAGTCAGAGGGTCGTCAAGGGTAGTCAGAGGGTCGTCAGAGGTAGTCAGAGGGTCGTCAGAGGGTAGTCAGAGGGTCGTCAGAGGGTCGTCAGAGGGTCGTCAGAGGGTCGTCAGAGGGTCGTCAGAGGGTCGTCAGAGGGTCGTCAGAGGGGTCGTCAGAGGTCGTCAGAGGGTCGTCAGAGGGTCGTCAGAGGGTCGTCAGAGGGTCGTCAGAGGGTCGTCAGAGGGTCGTCAGAGGGTCGTCAGAGGGTCGTCAGAGGGCAGGGTCTATGTTATCAGGATAATTTATCCTGATTCTCCTCAATTCAGGATAGGTGTCGTGTGCTAGTCCTGGAAGAACAGCATAAGAGGAATAATTGTCCTGTAATTTCAGTATAACGGTTATTTTGCGTACTGGAAACTCAGGATAAGGCTGTAGGTTCAGCCCTGATGAGTCAGGATAGTGTCGAATCTCGCTCTGAAGCGAGATGTACTGTACGAAAATTCTCCTGGGTTTCTGGGCCTAAAATTTCACGAGTAGCACCTCAACACAGAAGCCAGCAGGAGTCAATCATGCGACCTATGACGTAACGCTCTGACGCTTTACCCACTACCACGCTTCATACGAGATATTGCAGAGCAAATTTCAAACTATTTTTTATCTTACTTTGCACTACAGCATTCCACACTTCGAATTTGGAGAGCATTTCGATCCCCGCTAAATTTGTTGGGCTGATATGCCCTAGGATCTTTGTAGAGTTAAAGTCTGAGTAGGATTGTAATAGCGGAAGCGTTTGAATGAAAAGTCCTTGAACCACCTTGCGCTAGTGTGTGAGGCAAAGTAAGTTTTAAAACAAGCAAATACAAGGCTTTATATAAGTACAAGGAATACGAATAGATATAATTAAACTGTTTTGCTGTTGCGATTCGATACAGTGCGACTCGGGCAACTGCTCAATGTCGAATCAGTTGTGTGTCCTTGCTGTCGCGCTGTATTTGTCAAGTCAAAGGTCGCTGACTTTTGACCTTCGCGTAACCTCCAGGCGGTTACCCTAACCTCCGAGGGTTGACTCGCGATGCTTCGATTTGGACAAGCTTCGCTTGTGTCCTGAGTTTCGACACGACAGAGGCGCTTTAAGACTGATTGTTCCCAAGAAAATTACACGCGCAAAATACATAGGATTGAACGAAATTGTCAAGATATGTTGCTAGGGTTTAAGCCTTAGGAGCCATGTTGGGAGGTAGAGTGTGAGGGAGTTGGCAATGAAAGAGAACTTCACTATAGAGCTAAGGGTACAAATATGATAGGAAAGGGGGTAATCCACCAAACAGAATGTGATAACTACACTACTGCTATATCTACATGCAGTTACACTAATATAACTCTGACATCCCCCCTTAACTGCATGCAGGAATAGCAAAGCATAAATCACAACCTGCAAGTGTACTGAAAGCATTAGCACGCAAGAGCAATGACAACCAGTGCAGCAGTGGCAGAAACAACAGCAGAAACCCTTAGCCAATACAGAAACGAAGAAAGGGTGCATGTGGCGCAGGTCGCCTGGAGAGCGGCGTGCGGCGGCAACAAGCGGCGCACAAGCAGGCTCAACGGCAGCACCTGCCGCTCAACAGCAGCAAACGAAAGAGACGAATTAAGTGGTAACAGGGGCTGCAGCTGGAGGTGCCACAGGAGCAGGGGGTGGCAGTTGCAAATGCAGGGCTGCTGCTTCTGCCACTCTCTCTCATACCCTCCTTTATCCCCCCCTTACCCCTCTCTCCCCCCCCCCCTCAGCAACAATTGCTGCAGGGAGAGAGGAAGAGGAAGGGAGGGAGGAGCGGCAGCTCCTCAGACCCGCCCCCTCCCCCCCAACCCCCCCCCCCACGACGGAAGGGAAGGGCGGAATCACCCACTGCCGGCGTTGGCGGTCGCGTTGGCGCTAGCGCTGGCGGCCGTCGCAGCTGCTGGCGGTGGCGCTGGCGGTCCGCGCAGGCGCTGGCGCTCGCGGCTGGCTGCAGCGTTGGCGCTCGGCGGCTGGCCGTGGCGCTGGCGTCCGCGCTGGCGAAGGCGGATCGCGGGGCGACGGGGGGAGCGTGACGGACGAAAAGGGCGCACGGGCGCGACGCAAAACGAAGGGCCTGCAGAAAGCGAAAAACGGGACCCGCGGGGTTCGTCCACGGGGCGATTCGGGGGACCCGCGGGGGCGCATTACGGGCGGCACGACGGGTGGGGCCCATGATCATTAAAAAAAAAAAGGTCCTCAGGAGAAATTCCTGCTCTGTACCATGTCAAGATATGTTGCTAGGGTTTAGCCTTAGGAGCCATGTTGGGAGGTAGAGTGTGAGGGAGTTGGCAATGAAAGAGAACTTCACTATAGAGCTAAGGGTACAAATATGATAGGAAAGGGGGTAATCCACCAAACAGAATGTGATAACTACACTACTGCTATATCTACATGCAGTTACAATAATATAACTCTGACAGAAATGTAGCACTGAGTTGCCAGGATACTGTCAAATGTAGCACTGGCATTTCAGGATACCTGTCAAATGTTGTAGCCTGTAGTGAGGTTTGTCTTAGGGGGTACAGAAGTTAGGGTTTGTCATATGTACCCCAACCAACATCAATGCAACACCCCATTCCTCATTCTGACATGGTATCAGCTAGGTTAGGATCCTGTGGGATCCCGTTCCTCCGTTCTCCGTTCGTACCTCCCGAGCCTGATCCTACCTCTCGTTCGTACCAGTTTAGTTGTTACCGCGCCTAGTACCGAGCCTAGAGTCATCTCCCCCGTCGCGTCACGCCCGTTCCCCCCCGTCGCGTCGCGCCCGTTCCCCCCGTCGCGTCGCGCCCGTTCCCCCCGTCGCGTCGCCCTGCCCTGTCCCGTCGCCCTGTCCCGTCGCGTCGCCCTGTCCCGTCCCGTCGCCCTGTCCCGTCGCGTCGCCCTGTCCCGTCCCGTCGCCCTGTCCCGTCGCGTCGCCCTGTCCCGTCCCGTCGCGTCGCCCTGTCCCGTCCCGTCCCGTCCGTCGCCCTGTCCCGTCGCGTCGCCCTACCCCGTCGCGTCGCCCTGCCCTGTCCCGTCGCCCTGCTCCGTCGCGCCGCCCTGCCCCGTCGCGTCGCCCTGTCCCGTCGCGTCGCCCTGCCCCGTCGCGTCGCTCCCGCCCTTTCCCCCGTCGCGTCGCCCTCCCTAGGCCCTAGCCCGTCGCCCTCCCTAGGCCCTGGCCCGTCGCCCTCCTAGGCCCTGGCCCGTCGCCCTCCCTAGGCTCTGGCCCGTCGCCCTACCCTAGGCCCTGGCACGTTGCCCTACCCTACGTTTTGGCCCGTCGCCCTAGCCCGCTCTTCCGCTGCGACTGAGTCCTCTTCCCCCCCGGTTGTTACTCGCCTGTTCGTTCGCGTTGGTTCTCACTATGGCGACTCCGCGAGTTCTTCGTTTCGACGCTGACGGTAGACCCCTTGACTTTTCCGTCTGGCTTCTTCGCGCTCGTCGTCTGTTAGAGAGTCAGGTCCAGGGGGGCGAGACCCTCTGGTCACACGCTACTGGTGACCTCCCCGAGCCCCCCGAGCCTACCGCTTTAGGCCCTGCTCCTGACGACGCTGCTACGGCTCGCTTTGCCCGTCAGCGCGCTGACCGGACGGCTTGGACGTCGCGTGACGCTGCGGCCTGCATCGCACTCAGCAGCCTCCTCCCTGAGTCCGAGGAGGTCCAGTTTACTCAGGTTCGCACCGCTGCTGCGTACCTCACTGCGATTAAGGCCCGCTACTCTACTCCCGCTACTGTCTCTCTCGGCCGTCTTTTCCTCCCGTTCCTGTTTCCTGATCTTGCCTCGTTTGAGCGCTCTGCTGACTTGATCGCTCACCTCCGCTCGCTCGACGCTAGTTACCGCGCTGCTTGCACTGAGGCACAGCTTGCACTGCTTCCTCCCCCCATGGCGATTACTGTCTATTTCATCGCCACTAGCCTCCCTGACCGCCTTGCCTCCGTCCGTGACGCGCTTCTGCTGAAGCACCCTAGTGAGCTGACTATCGAGGTCCTTGAGTCTGCACTCAAGGACGTCGAGAGCAACCTTCGTTCGGTAGCTGCCGCCTCTGGTACTGTGTCCCCCCCACTCTTCCACGGGTGCACAGTCCCGCAGTTACCCACCTTCACTGCCTCTCTTGCCACTGCCGCTACTGACGCGACTGCGGCTGCTGTTACGACTGCGTCGCGGTCCCGCGGCAGGGGGGGCAAGAAAGGTGGTTCCGGTGGAGGTGGAGGCGGAGGTAGCGGAGGTAGTGGGGGTGCTGTTGCGACTGGCGGTGGTGGGAGTGCAGCGTCTGGAGAGACCCCTCGTGCAGCGGCTGGTGACTCCACTGCACCTGCTGGTGGCGGCGACCCTCGAGCTCGTCAGTCGCCTCCTGTACTGCCGGCCCCGCTAGGTGGAGCAGCGGCGTGGTACCAGGCTCAGCGTCAGCAGCACCTTCAGCAGCAGCAGCAGCCCCTTTCCTCCCAGCAGCCTCAGCAGCAGCAGCGTCAGCAGCTGGCTCCGGGGTCGGGGCTGCGTCAGCCCCAGCGCGGTGCTGCTTACCCTCCCTGCCCCTACCAGGTTCAGACAGGTCCTCGTCGGGGCCACCCTTGTGGCCGCTTTCACCCCCCTGGTCAGTGCTTTGCTCAGCTCACTGACACGGTCCGGTTGACCTACGGGGTTGGCGGTCCTGCTCCTGACTGGCTTCCTCTGGTTCAGCGCTACGGCTCCGCTCTGTGGGGCATGTCTGCTGAGCAGTTAGTTGATCTGATTAGTGCTCCTCATGCTATGTATGCTGTTGTTGACTCTAGTGTTTCTGACTCTGTTTACTCTGGTGTTGTTAGCTTAGGTGCTAGTCTTGCTCAGTTGCCTGTTGCTAGTGTAGGTACTTGTGTAGACTCTAGACCAGCGACTACCTCAGAGGACGCTTCGCTGTCGTTCACACTGGACTCTGGAGCCTCCCACTGCTTCTTTCGGGACAGCACGACACTTACACCACTTCCTGCGCCTGTTTCTGTAGCGTTGGCTGATCCCACTACGGGACCAGTCACTGCACGTCACACTACCACTTTACCGTGTCCTGCTGCTCCCTCCGGGTCTCTCACTGGGTTTCACGTCCCCTCGTTCTCCCGGAACTTGGTGGGCGTGCGACCCCTCGTGAGTCAGCACGTGGGTGTGTGGTTTGAGCCTTCTGGAGAGACTGCGGTGTGTGTTGACGGAGACTCTTACCAGCCTCTTGCTACCTTTACTGCTGAGCCGGGCTCGGGTCTCTACACTCTTCACACTGGCCCGCGTGCGCCGCAGCAAGCAGCCGCAGCAGCAGCAGCAGCCGCAGCAGCAGCAGCAGCAGCAGCACCAGCAGCAGCACCAGCGGCCGCACCAGCAGCCCCCCCTACTGCCACTGCCCCCGGTTCCCCCCCCCGTTCGGGTCCCCGCGTCTCACCAGGTTGCTACGTCCCCCCAGGTGTCTGTGTCGTGTCAGGTTCCTACGTCTGTTCCGGTCGCTGCGTCGTGCTCCTGCCGGTCGCTTGCCCACCCCACCGTTCTGTGGCACCACCGGATGGGGCACCCGTCCCTTCCACGTCTACGCGCTATGTCTAGTCAGCGTCTTGTCCTAGGCCTCCCACGTGTCTTGCCGTCGCTGCCGCCTTCGCCTGCGCCGCCGTGTCGTCCCTACGTCGAGGGTAGGCTGCGCGCCACCCCTCACTCCTCCTCCCTTCGTCCGGCCACCGAGCCTTTTGAGACGCTTCACTTGGACGTCTGGGGCCCAGCCCCTCGTCTAGGCCCTGAGCGTGAGCGTTACTTTCTGGTGGTAGTTGACGACTTCTCCCGCTACACCACAGTGTTCCCTTTGGCGAAGAAGTCTGAGGTGACTTCTACGCTGATCAGGTGGTTGCTCACCACTGAGGACACTCGTGGTCGTCGTGTCAGTTGTCTCCACTCCGACCATGGGGGTGAGTTTTGCTCCGGCATTCTCGCTGGATTCTGTCGCGAGCAGGGCATTCGTCAGTCCTGGACGCTTCCAGAGTCCCCACAGCATAATGGGGTTGCTGAGCGCCGCATAGGCCTGGTCATGGAGATCGCCCGCACCTCCCTGACTCACGCCTGTGCCCCCCATTTTCTGTGGCCCTACGCGGTCAGGTACGCCGCGCACCAGCTGAACCTCTGGCCACGTGTCTCTCGACCAGAGGTTTCACCGACCAGTCTTTGGACAGGGTCCCCTGGTGTTGCGTCGCGGTTTCGTGTCTGGGGGTGCTTGGCTCTTGTCCGCGACACCTCCGCGGACAAGCTCTTGCCTCGTGGCGTCCCCTATGTCTTCCTTGGTTTCCCTGAGGACTCCTCTGACTTCACCTTTTACCACCCTCCCTCTCACCGGTTCTTTGACTCCCGTGACGTCCGTTTCGAGGAGTCCACTCCGTACTACGTCAGGTACCCCAGTCGAGGTCTCCTGGTTCCTCCTCCCCCCCTCTTCCTGACTGCCGTTCCCCTTCCTGCTCCCCCGGTACAGCCTCCCCCCCCTGGTCCAGCCCCGTCAGGTGTGTCCCAGGCTACCCCTCCTCCTTCGGTAGCCCCTCTGGTACAGCCTCCCTCCCCACAGTCCTCCTCGCAGCGTGCCGCTGGTGCTAGCTCTCGAGAGGTTGGTGCGGCGCCTGTTCCTGTACCGGTTTCTGGTTCTGGGGGTGCTGGAGTTGGAGTTGGCCCTGGAGTTTCTGGTTCTGGGGGTGCTGGAGTTGGAGCTGGGGTTGGAGCTGGAGTTTCTGGTTCTGGAGTTGGAGCTGACCCGGTGGGTGCAGAGGACTCTTGTCGTCCGGGAGCTGGTGCTGGCCGCGCGGACACTGGGGGTACTGCGTCTGGGGGTGAGGGTGCGCCTCCTTCGGGTTCAGGTGAGCCTGGTTCTGGAGCTAGTGTTAGTGCTGCCTCTGGGGGTGGTGCGCCTAGTTCTTCTGAGTTGGACTCTGGAGCTGCCGCTGCTTCGGACACTACTCCACCCCCCCACCCCTACCCGACTAGGCACCAGGCTCGTGTTCGCCGTGCCCGTGACGAGCAGCTGGAGTTGGAGAGAGAGAGGAGGGAGTTACAGCGGCTGGAGGAGCAGCAGCAGCAGCTGGAGCCGCAAGAGCAGCAGCAGCAGCAGCAGCAGCTGGACCCGCAGGAGTAGCAGTCCCAGCAGCAGCCGCGTCCGCAGCAGCAGCAGTCGCAGCCGCAGCAGCAGCAGCCACTTCCTCCTCCTGTCTCGGGTCTTCGGATCCTTGGTCTCCCCTCCCCTTCTCCTCCCTCCTCCGCCTCTCCTCCTGTCTACGGTCCCACGTTTCCTCCTCCTGACTCCTCCCCGCTGTTTTCCCCAGTTCTCCGCCTTTGTCCTCTCCTCCTCCGTCTCGTTCTTGGTCTACTCGTCGCTCCCCTCGTGCTCGTCCCTCGTCTCCTGTTCCCTTCACTGAACTTCGTACTGCCTTCCTTCTTTCTAGTCCACCTCGTCCGTCTCAGTCTGTGCTTCCGTCTCCTCCTGAGTCGGCCCTCACTGTGTCGCTCCCTACTCCTGTCACTGACTACTACCGCACGTACCGTCCTGTTCTCTCTCGTGTTCTCGCCTCTCTTGTTACTCACCCTCGTGCCTCTGTGTCCTCTGTGTCCGCTCTTACTGCCGCAGTTACTGACTTTGCCTCTACCCGCCGCCTTGACTACGCCACCACGCTTGTGGCTGCTCCTCCTACCAGTCCTCTGGCCGTCGGGGGTGTGTCTGCCCTTGGCTGTGACGCCCTAGAGGACAGGCAGTTTGAGCTAGAGTTCCTGGCGGCCGCTTCCCCTCATCTCTGTGCCATGCTCCTCGCCCCTGAGGGTGACCCCGACGCCCTTCACATTCCGACTCCTCGCACTTACGCTGAGGCAGTGTCAGGGCCTTGGCCTCTCAGTGGAGAGCTGCCATGGACGCAGAGATGGCCTCCTACAGATCCACAGGCACCTACGTCGATGAGGTTCCCCCCCCTGGGGCGAACGTAGTCGACGGCATGTGGATCTACAGGGTGAAGCGGCCACCGGGATCTCCCCCGGTCTTCAAGGCGCGCTACGTGGCTAGAGGTTTCAGTCAGCGCGAGGGAGTTGACTTCTTTCAGACCTTCGCACCTACCCCGAAGATGACCACTCTTCGGGTGTTACTACACGTAGCAGCACAGAGAGACTACGAGTTACACTCTCTCGACTTCTCCACTGCTTTCCTTCAGGGCAGCCTACACGAGGAGGTCTGGTTACGTCGTCCCTCGGCCTTCACTGGCACTTTCCCTCCTGGGACCCAGTGGAGGCTGAGGCGACCTGTTTACGGTCTTCGCCAGGCCCCTCGTGAGTGGCACGACACTCTGCGTTCTACCCTCTCTGACCTTGGGTTCCAGCCGTCTTCTGCCGACCCGTCGCTGTTCGTTCGTCGTGGCTCCACACCGTTCTTTGTCCTGGTCTACGTCGACGACCTCGTTTTCGCCACTCCGGACAGGGTTGCTTTGGCAGACGTGAAGTCCGAACTGCAGAAGAGACACACGTGCACTGATCTTGGTGAGCTGCGCCACTACCTTGGCCTGCAGATCACCAGGGACAGAGCCGCTCGCACCATTACACTCTCACAGTCACACATGGTGCAGCAGGTCCTTCAGCGGTTCGGGCTTCAGCACTCCACCGTACAGCGCACACCTCTAGCTGTTGACCACAGACTCACTGGTCCCTTTCCTGACGAGCCGTTTGAGCCTAGTGGTCCCTACGCAGAGCTTGTGGGTTGCCTCATGTACCTGATGACTTGTACTCGCCCGGACCTCGCCTTCCCTCTCAGCATCCTTGCGCGCTTTGTTGCGCCAGGGAGACACCGTCCTGTTCACTGGACGGCAGCTGTGAGGGTGGCGAAGTACCTAGCGACTACATCAGGCGTGGGGCTAGTTCTTGGAGGGCAGCAGTCTGTCGTACTCACTGGTCACTGTGACTCCTCCTACGCTGACGACGCTGAGACTCAGAGGTCTACTCAGGGGTACTGTTTCAGTCTGGGTTCTGGAGCTGTTTCCTGGCGTTCCACGCGCTCCTCTTCTGTCTCGACCTCTACAGCTGAGGCTGAGATTTACGCTGGTGCCATGGCGGCACAGGAGTTGCGGTGGTTGACCTTCTTGCTCGCCGACCTTGGTGAGCGGCCGAGCTCTGCACCGACCTTGTTTACTGACAACAAGGCGTCGATCCTCCTCTGTCGTGAGCCGCGACTGGAGAGCAGAGTGAAGCACATTCACGTCAGGTACTTTCTTCTGCGAGAGTTGCAGAGGCGTGGACAGGCTCGCTTCGAGTTTGTAGAGTCCGAGGCCAACACTGCAGACATCTTCACCAAGGCGCTTCCGCTTTGTGACCACCAGAGGTGTTGTGTGCAGTTAGGCCTTGTTGACACAGGTTCTAGTCATGCGTAGACTTGAGTTTATTGCCTGCTTCGTCTGTACACTTACTATATATACTTGTGATCTCTTGGACTGGCCTTGTGGCCACTGTTGCTTGTGCTCAGAGTGTGTGGTGACGTTGTGATCCACCCTGAGCTTTGTTTTCTTTTGGACTGGTCTTGTGACCGTACTCTTTTTTTTGTTTTTGCTAGACACCCCTCACTTAGGCTATGGGGGTGTGTCAAATGTTGTAGCCTGTAGTGAGGTTTGTCTTAGGGGGTACAGAAGTTAGGGTTTGTCATATGTACCCCAACCAACATCAATGCAAAACCCCATTCCTCATTCTGACAATACCTCACCGTGTGCAGCCCTGACAAATCAGGGCAAATTCTGATTTCCTAAAAACTGCCCTGAGGCCTCAGTGTACCCCCAAACGAATCTGAGGGCCTGTCAGAGGGTCGTCAGAGGGTCGTCAGGCTTGACCCGTTTCCGCTGGGATATTCCCCCAAATGTCTATGAACTAGCAGTATACACAGCCCAGAGTCTGAAACGTCTGGTACAGTGACAGGAAGAAATTACGTAAAAACGTTACAACTTGATGCATTGCCCGTACTGGAGCTACCTACAATACGCTCGCCACCCTTTGGAGAGACTCTTTACTGCAGCAGGTACCTAACGGCATAGAGGACGCACCAGGCCACCTAGCAAACTGCAGCTTCACAGGTCTCAAGGGCTGCTGTTATGGCGCATATAGCAGCAGAAACGCACGAAGTGTCGAGAAATCATCAGCTGCACTCAACTCCTTGACTACCTAACGACATAGAGAATGCGCCTAGCTGCCTCAGGCCCAGCAGCTTCACAGAAGGTCTTAAGGGCTGCTGTTATGGCCCGTGTGGAGGCAGAGGAAAGCCAGCCCATCTCCAGCAGTTGCTGGTGGTGGGATGGACAGGGAAAGATTGGAAGAGAGTGGGGGGGTGGGCAAGATGGGTAAATGGACTGGGACTTTGAAAACACCAAATAATATGTCAGAATGGAAGCAGAGGAAAGCGAACCAGTCTCCAGCAGTTGCTAACGGTGGGGTGCACATTAGAACGGGGAAGAAACTGGTGGTTGTGAAGTGGTGTATAGCAGGGAGGGTTATCTTCCATCTACTCAGAAGTTGTATAAAACGAATTATTCAACGATCAAGACAGGAACCACTGAATCCAACTAACTGAGCATCTTGCTTTGGCGTGGATGCTGAAATGCTTGGCAGCAAATGGCAGGCCATCTCGCATACGATAAAAGGAACCAGAACCCTCCCCCTCTTCTTCCCCACCACCACACTCACACTCAGACACAGCAGCTGAATTTCACAGCTGCCCCCACACTCACCGAAAAGCTGATCTGCAAGGAGCCGTTGATAAGCAGTGGCATGGCCATCACTGTTGCTGCCACCTCCCTGCTTCTCTCCTGCCGCTCCTCCTCACTCGACTCCTCGGGCCATCTCTCCCCTCCTCCTCCACACTCACTCCCACCCGCTTCCCCCCCTCCTCCTACCATTCCTCTCCGCCAGTCTCCTTCCCTTCCCGCATCAACCTCCATCCCATCTTTCCCCCCCTGGCCCCCTTTCCTGTCCTCTTGGGCCCTGTACACACCTCCCTGCACTCCATACTCGTTAGTAGTATCCTCCCTGCTACTCGTCTCGTCCAACCCACCAGCCCCTCTCTCAGCAGCAGCCTGTAGTTCTCGTGCCTCTGCTCTCTCTGCATCGGTCTGTCCCCCCCCCACCCCTGTATACCCTCGCACTGCCTCTCTCACTCCCTCCTCTCGCCCCTCCCCCACTGTAGCCCCGTCCCCTCCCATGGAAGAGAGAGGCTGATGGTGCGAGTTTGTGAGAGAGGGAAGGCTGGCCGGGGTGTGGGGGCGTTTTGGCAGCGCGGAGGAGAGAACAACGTAGGGGGAGCGGCCGAGGAGAGGGCGAGCAAGGGAGAACGGAACCCACCTGATGGGAAGGGGGGGGCGGAGGGGGGGTGTGGGGGTGTTTTGGCAGTGCGAGGAGGAGAGAACAACGTAGGGGGAGCGGTCGAGGAGAGGGCGGGCGAGGGTGAAGGGCACCCACCTGATGGGGAGGAAGGGGGGCGGGGGGGTGGGGGGACGGTGTGGGGGTTTGGTGAGAAGGTTGGGCAAGGAGAATTGGGGGGGAGGTTGGAGGGGGTTTTACGGGAAGGGGAAGGGCTGTCCTCCCCTTGAGAGCAGGAGCGACGGCGGCGCAAGAGGGTGTTTTGACAGAACCGAGGAAGGAACAGGATAGGGAAAGTGATTCAGAAGAAAGCAGGCAAGGGCGACGAGTACCCACCTGATAAGGGGAGGCGAGGCAGGGGGAAGGAGAGAGAGGGGGGATGGGCAGGGAGATTTTACAGGTAGGTTTGGGAGGAAGAGGTAGGAAGCTTTGCAGGTGGAGGGTAGTGTTAGGGGTAAGTGCCACAAGAGGGAGCTTGGGGGAGGAAGGAAGAATGGTCCAATTTACAGGCTAAAAGAACTCACAAGTAGCGCAGAGGGCAGAGCAGATCCGACGGTGCATACGCGGCCTTGTAAGTCATCTTGGGGCAGGAGTGGATATAATACCCCATATAGTACGAATCCAATAAGAGCTCAGGGCGCTGCTGCTGCTCGCGCTGCACCCACTCTATCTCCTTCAGCGCGGAAAACTTCCCCAGGGACAGAAACGCATAGTCTGGGTCCCAAAAGAGATACTTAGATGAGAGGCAGCGTGGCAGCACGTCCACCACCCCCACGGCCACTAAGCGCCCGTCGATCCGATACTGCTGGTGGAAAGACCCGTACCCACAGGAGGGGAGGGGCGCTGAGGCAGGCTTGGGCGCTTCTAGGGGCGGGACTGAGTGTGGGTGGGGAGTAGTGGAAGTGGGAGGAGCGGAGGTGGAAGGAGCAGGTGGAGGGACGGGTATGAGGGGAGTGTTGACGAGGAAATTCTCGTAGCCGCGTCTGGTGACGGAGGAGGGCTTGTCATCGTGCACGTGAATCTGGTACTTGCGGTACAGCTCGTACTCCTCCTGAGTGAACGCCGATGGGTGGGTTGTTATCTCTAAACGTCGTGGGGTGCGCTGTTTCCCCTGCTGCTGCCGCTGCTGGTCCTGCTGCTCGTCCCGTTGCTGCTGCTGCTGCTGCTGCTGCTGCTGCTGTTGCTGCTGCTGCTTCTGCTCTTCCTGCTGCTGCTGCCGCCGTTGCTGATGATTCGTGCCTGTCGTCATGCCACCATGAAGCAGAGCGGCGGGAGCAAGCACGTTCACATGCCCATGCACGGCTCTCACACACACCCCCTCTGGCAGTCCCCCCCTTTGCCACCCCCCCTCTGCTTCGGCTACCAGCTTTGCTGCTAAATCCTGTGCACTAGAGCTTAAAGAGAGAGCGCTTGTGCCCCCTCTTTCTCCGCTTGCTGATTGCTGTGTGGCTCTCACCCCTGGATGCTGCTGCTGCAGTTTCTTTAATCCGGAGCAGATTATAAACGCAATGTTTGACGTCAGCACAGGCAGAGGAGCAGACGCTCCTTTCTGCTGGCTTTCCCCTGCCCCTCCTGCCCCTTCCTCCTCTCCCTTCCCTCCCTCCCCTCCCTTCCCCTTCCCACCCTTCCCTCCCTTCCTTTTCCCTCCCTCCCCTCTCTCCCCTCCCTTCCCCTCCCCGACTCGCGCCCTCACACTGACAGGAACAGATCTGAGCGTCACAGCAGGCAGCACCAGGCTGGCAGGCAGCATCCCCTGCTCCCTCCATAGCTGTAGCACCCCGCTTAAAGCCCCTTCCACACGCGCCTGCACTGCTGCCAAAGGTCCTTGCTCCAGATTTCTAGTCGAAGCCCCTTCCATCCGTGCATCCCCTAGGGCTTGCCCCTTTGCAGGGTCTGATTGCTGCGGCGTTGCACCTAAATTTGCACCTGAATTTGCACCCGAACCTGAACCTGAACCTGCGCCCGAGTTAAAAGCGAGGCCGGGACGGTTAGCAGGGGAATCTCTAGGCCTGGGGGGCGGAAGGTCGATGTCTCCACTGAGGAACCTCTCCATGCGCCTCAGCACCTTGCGCTGCTCCTTGTTGGGCTGAAACCGCCCCGCCACGAGACGGATGGTGTAGGCCGGGCAGCAGGTGCGGGGCATGTCCGGCTTGTAGAGGAAGCAACCCGACCGACGCCAGCCACGATCCAACAGGTCTGAAGGGAAGGGCAGGGCACGAGGAAAGGGGAAAGGGATGGATTCAACTCAATAACGCCATAACATGGTGTCGAGTTCTCCACTGAGGAACCTCTCCATGCGCCGCAGCACCTTGCGCTGCTCCTTGTTGAGCTGAAACCGCCCCGCCACGAGGCGGATGGTGTAGGCCGGGCAGCAGGTGCGGGGCATGTCGGGTTTGTAGAGAAAACAGCCTGACCGACGCCAACCACGGGTTAACAGGTCTGGGAGTAACAGGGGTAAGGGAAACACGGGGCTGGAGAGGAGTGAAGAGTGACGATGGAAGCACTGTTTAAACGTCTGAAAACTGCTGCACTAAAAATAAAAAAAGAAAGATGTCGCCACACTACCAAATAACATGTTCCTGTAAGCAGCCACTGTACCTTGATAGTCCTGTACGGTCATAGTCTCCGCGGTGATTCCTGAAAAAACAAACAAACAAACAAAGGTTCAATGTATCACATGTATTTCGCAATGGTAACACGGGAAAGGCTGAAAATAAAACTGTGAAACGAACGGAAACGCTCATTCGAAACGCTGATACGGAAATGTAAAACGGAAACGCTGAATATGGGGATCCTGTCCTGACCATGAGAGTGGCTGGAGCCGCGAGCGCCTCGGCAGTAGCCGCAAGAGGAGGAGTAATCGCCATGGTCCACCACGATCGTCCGCTCCACCTCCGGCTGTCGCTCCGCCTCTTCGGACTCTGAATCGGATTCGCGAACCCGCTGCTGCTTCGGCGGCTGCTGCTGCTGCTTGCGCCTTCGACCCAGCATGCTCGCTCGCTCGCGAAAAAAACAAGCAAATGTTAACAAACGAGGGAAGCGAGAAACGGAACACTAGAAACGCTGTCAGCAAACGGAAATCACTTTCGACAGTGCTGTCCGAGTGTATGATCATTCTCATCATTCATGTGTCCGCAGCAGCCATAACTCGACCTTCAACTGAACCCCCAGTTTTCTGCAGGGGAGAGTCCCCCAAACGTTCAAAATTCACAACTTCGTTGGGAAACTAACGGTTGAGTACGTTTCTGAACTCTTTATAATGGTAGAGCAAGATAACCGCTCTAAACCGCTAATCACCTTTCTAAACACGGAGACTTTAAGAACACACCTATGACACACCCTGGAAATTGCCGTGAAGATCCAACCCAGTCCCAAGGCCATTTGCTTCCACTTCAAGTCAAAACTTGCCCTCCACGTGTGGAACACTTGTTTCGTCTGTAAGGAAATCGACTTTACAAGAAGTCACAGACAGGTTTGCAAACATTTAGGATGCATATTAACAAAAAATCTCGTTGAAGATGAAGTATAGCATGGTACAAGAAGTCCATGATACAACAGCTGTTGCATGATGCATTCCCACTTATGGTACAAAGGTTGTAAAAACTTTATCTATTGTTAGTCCAGTCGTCGTAGCAAGGAGCAAATCAGTAATACACAACACCATTGAACCTTATTACCATATAGAAACCGTGCTCAATGACCTTCCGGAGTCCCCACGCGGCGTTCGCCAGCCAAGCTGTCTTGGCCGTCCCTTGTTAACCTGCTCCTGCCTCGCGGGTTGGTATCACATTCTCTTTCCGCAACACCCCCATGCCCAGTCTCAGTACTGCAATCCTCAAGCAATCCCCCTCTCCCCACTCCTCTAGCAGCACTGCCAGCGTCAACATTAGACGTAAATCCTTGCACTCGCTCCGTATTTGCTCCAGTGTTATCACTGCCCAGTGTATCTACTGTACTTCTATGCATACTCCAGTTACTGTGCACTGCATGTGCGGCACGGGAGCGAGGCTGGGGCATCGCATCCCACTCCCCCACACCGCTCAGCAGACCTGCTACAGCCTGCAGCTCCCGCATCACCTCTGCTACAGCCACAGGCCGCTGCTCCTGCTGCTGCTGACGTGGCGGATGCTGATGGGACTGCTCCTGACGTGTCTGCTGACGTGGATGCGGATGCAGTGGTTGATGCTGCTGTTGGGGTTCTGGAGGAAGCTGGGAGTGTGCTTTTTGCTGCTGCTGCTGCTGCTGCTGCTGTTGGTGCTGCTGCTGCCTCTCCCCACTCCCATCCCTTCCCATGGATTGCCTCTCATCTGGCCGGAGTGATTTGTCTCTTCTGACATCGCCCCTCCTAGGATCATCACTCTCCATTTTCCCGGCCTCCATCGCAGCATCCTCTTCCTCCTCCTCCTCCTCTTCCTCCTCCTCTTCCTCGTCCTCTTGCTCCCCTCCTTTCCTTGATCTACCCGTTACTCGTTCTCCTTCTCGTTCCCCTCCTCCTTCCCCTCCTCCTCCTTCTACTCCCTCTCCGCTTCCTCCCACTTCGTCTCCGGAACTTCCCTCTCCTTCCTCACCTCCCTCCTCTCCAGTCCCCCCTGTCCCAGGAACAGCTCCCTCCTGGTGCCATTCCCCCCCTCCCCCCCACACTCCTCCCCCCCACCCACTCACTTCCCCCCCTCTCCCTCTCCAACCTCCCGCCTCTCCCCCTCCACCACCACCACCCTCACTCACTCTCAACTCTATTGGCCTTCCACCCGCTCCCTCACTCCCTCCCTCCAAAACACGCCTCCTCTTTCCCCTTCCTTCCTCCTCTCCACCTTCCCCTTCCCCCAGCCCTTCCCCACCATGCCGTCTTACCCCTGCTCTCTCCCTCTCAGCCTCCCCTCTTGCCGTTCCCTCCCCACCCGCCCCCCCCCAACCCACTCTTCTAACCCCCATTCCGCTTCCACCATCCCCCCCCTCACCCAATTCCCCACCACCCAAGCCCCCCGCGCCCACCCTCCCCCGTTCCGTTCCTCCCCCAACCATTCCCCCATCACCTGCCCTCCCCCCACCCTCACTCCCCTCACCAGCCCTCCCCTCACCAGCCCTCCCCTCACCCGCCCAAACCCCACCAGTTCTCCCCCCACCAGCCCATCCCCCACTGGTCCTCCCCCCACCTGTTCGCCCGCCACTCGCCCTCCCCCCGCTCGCCCTGCCCCCACAGCACCTGTCCAGAGCCGCAACTACAGCCGCCGCTACAGCCTGGCCGGCCGAGGACCCCGGGAACAGCAGCAGATCCTGCAATAGCTGGGGGACACGTGGACTGATGGAGGGGGTGTCAGAGACACGTGGGCTAATGGAAGGGGCTTCAGGCACACGTGGGCTGATAGAGGGCGCGCCAGGTGGGGTGATGGTTGGGGCGTCAGAGACACGTGGAATGAGAGAGGGGACGCTGGGGGTGGTCGGTAGGGTGTGCGGGTCGTTAGGTGCTGGCCTTTGATGTAGCGCGGGGACATCTGCTGGCTGAGGCTTTGCCTGCTGCTGCTGCTGCTGCTGCTGCTGTGGCTGTGATTCCTGGTGTTGCTGCTGCTGCTGCTGTGACTGCTGATCGCGTTGCTGTGTCTGTGGCTGTTGGGCTATTGCTGCAGCAGGAATGGCTTCATCATCAGCAGCAGCAGCAGCAGCGCCATTAGCATCAGCGTCAGGAGCAGCAGCAGCAGATACAGCAGCAGGGCAGAGAGCAGCGGAAAGCGCATGGGAGCTGGTAGCAGTGCTGCCTAGAAGAGCAGGAGGGACTGCCGTAACTGGCAGGAGTCGAGAGGCGAGAGAGGGGTGTGAAGGGCACGAGGGTTGTGGGTGGAGTGAGGGCTGGGAGGGGTGTGAGAGGTGTGAGGGTGGAGGCGTGGCAGCAGCAGTAGGCTGGGGAGGAGGCATGGAGGCAGCAACCGAAGGTGCTGCTGCTGCCGGGCTTGGCGGGGATTGACTGGGGGGCGGGCGGGAAGGGGAGTAACGGGAGGGAGCGGGCATGACAGCAGGTGCAATGGTCACCATGCTAACGCCACCGCCGCCACCCACGCCAGCTTTATCATCCGTGCCAGCCATGTTAGCCGTGGGGACTCTGCTACCCGCGGGAATTATGTTACCCCTGGGACCCATAGGAACCACAGGGGGAGAGGCGTCGTGTTCAAGCGTGCTGGTCGCGGGCGGAGAGATTCCAGTCTGCAGCGCAGCACTGTGTGAAGCGAGCGGGGAGACACGAGCGGGCGCAGAAGGAGAGAGCTCGCTCAGCAGCGCGCTGTGCGCACGCAGGGAGACTCCGCTTAGTAGCGCGCTGTGTGCAGCGGGCGGGGAGGCGCCAGTCAGGAGCGCGCTGGTCGCGGGCGGGGAGACTCCAGGCGGAAAATCCGCGTGGGAAGGCGGAGTCGCGCGCCTTCCCGCCACGTTTCCTGTGGGCGGGGAGGCCCCAGTCAGCAGCGCGCTGCCTGCGGGCGGGGAGACTCCGCTCAGCAGAGCGCTGTGTGCTTCAGGCGGGGAGGCGCCAGTCAGGAGCGCGCTGGTGGGCGCAGGCGGGGAGGCCGCGCTATCCGTGGTGCCTCGCGCGGGCGGAGAAGCGCCACTCAGAAGCGCACTGCGCGCAAGCGCGGAGTCTCCGCTCAGCAGTGCGTGTCTGCCTGCTAACGGGGAGGTTTCGCGCCGTACCGCGCGCCGCAAAGGGGAGAGTCGACTCCGCACACCATGCGCGGGAGGTTTCCCCTCCCAGCCACCCTCCACTTCCGCGCCCTCCGCGCTTCTGCCATCCGCGTTCCGCGCACGTTCCGCTGCTGCCCCCTGCGCACGTCCCCTCTGCTGTGAAACCGCTGCCTCCCCACCCCGCCACCACCCTGCTCCCCCGGATGTGCCTCCTGGTGCGCCCCTCCCCGCAGCGAAGCTCCCGCGGTCCTGCTCCCCCCACACAAATTCTGAAACCTCTGGCGGCGATATGCCAGGCGAAATTCCTTGCATTAAACCAGGAGATATAGCAGGCGAAATAGCAGCTGACGTGCCACTCCAAGTTACCATGCCAGGCGATACACCAACCCACGGTCTTTGTTCGACACCCGCAGACCCGCTTCCTGGTGTTACCTGGTTACCAGCATCTCCAAATATGGCACCTGAGCCAGTGTCCGTACCCTGCTGCAAAAAGAAACGTCCTCGCTGGTTCCCTGCTTCGCTCATTCTCAACGTAAATCGAGGTGGTAACTCGCCAGTACTCACTTCGCCTTCGCCAGGGCTAGCCTCCGTCCCAGGGTGCTGCCTGCTGCGACCCACATCCTTCGTCGCCTCACCTTCGCCACGGCCGTGACGGCCCCATTCGCGGTAACCTCGTTCAGCCTTCGTACTCCCACACTCCTCGCCTCCAAGAAACTGTTCTTCCCCTATCGCTTCTTCTCCTCTTTCTCCTCTTTCTCCTCTTTCTCCTTCCTTTTTTCCTCCTCTTTCGTCCCCTCCTTCCCCTGATCTTCTTTCTGCAACGTCCTTCCTCTCCTCCGCGGCCGCCTGTATTGCCGCCACCGCGGAAGCCGCCGCGCGCTGCCACACGATACTCTGCGGAGTGGCGACCGGTGTGCTTCCACCGCCCCGTCCCCCTCCCCCTCCCCCCTCCGCCGTCATTGCGCGGAACGACGCGCGATCGAGGACCGACAGTTGCGGACGCGGGGCACACTTCGCGCGAAAATCTTTCCGCCAAGCTTCCCCCAATGGGCGGCGCGGAGGATCCTGGGCCAAGCATTCTGGCGGACGGCGGAACATCTGTGGGTACCGGGTGTGTTTCCGCGCGGCCTTCCGCCTGCGCTGATTGCGCTGCAGCGGGGGGAGCCGCGGGAGTATCATCACTGCTATCCAGAGCTGCTATGCTAAATCGAACGTGCTTATATCGCGGGAGAACCGCTAGCCCTCTATAAAGCAATCGAAAGTCGTTTCTCGTGAAGCAGATGTGAAAATACGAATGATGATAATAACGGGATGATGGCTCTTGAAATACGCCGAGGCAGTAACGGATTCGCAGTCGGTGCGGTGTAGAGCCGCGATAGGCTACTCGCGATATTCGCCAGAGCGAACTGGTAACGCCGAGGCGGCTACTGATGGCTACTTGCCAAAAAATGGGAAGCGCGTAGTCGCAAAACGAGGTCGTACCAGCGGAGAGGCGAAAAAATAGCGCTGAGAGGGAGGATGCGAGCCGGAAGAACCGGGGAAGAATGCGACGCGAAGGGTCGCGGCGCGAGGACAGCGGTACTGAGCGGCTGAATGCGACGCGGAGGGTGGCGGCGCGCAAGAATGATTGACGAGGCGCCTGGAGAATAATTTCAGGGCTAAGCCAGCAGGTTATTGGGCGGGCGGCTTTGAAGCGGATGGAGGGCGCGCGCAGGAATAAAGATGATACACCCACCGCTGCTGCTCCTCCAGGCTCCGTAGTACAAGTCCTAGTAGTCACGCTCCTCTTGCTATAAACATTCTTCTGCGACAAGCGCGCGACCGCGAGCGACGGATCACGATCCCGGGCGACAGTCTGTGCGACGGCAGGACGGGACGAATGGGCGTGCGGGAAGAAAACGAGCCTTGTCATTACTCTAACGCCTCATAGCTCTTTTGGTGTGCTTGAACCTCAACGGATGGGCCCTTGCGTCAAGGTTCCTCTCAAGTAGCCGGTGTGCTCTCTCCTTACTAGCGCGCGGGTCCGCTAATGCTGCGGCAGCATGGGGGAAGCTCAAGAAGCCTTCCAACGCCTCTAGTGAAAAAACATCGGGGGAGACGCTGGAAAATATAAAGATCCAAGCGGCGAGTTGTCCGCTTTCGGTTTTTTAAACGCTGGAGCTACAGTAGTAGGACGGGATTGGAGAGAAAGCGCGGGATTCTTGCGGATTACTGCAAGTGGCATGGGTGTGGATGTCTGTAGGGAAGATGCGGAGATGAGGGGATGCGGGGGGATGCGGATTCTTCCTGCACGTCCTTAGGACAGGAATTAAGACTGTCTGCAAGCGCAAGTGTTGAGTTGTCCATGGCCCCGCTCGCACGCCCCCTGGTTTCTTCGCACACCCTAGCCTTTCTCTGTTGGTCATTAGAATCTCATGTCGACTTTCCCCTGTGCGCAGCAGCAGCAGGTGAGCCATGGTTCTTCAGGAGAGGCTGTTGCTTTTGAAAGCGCCTTTCCCGCTTGGGAGGAAGAGATACGTATTCGTTTGCACAAGAAGCATTGAGCCTTGTGATCTTTCTCAAATTTGGTGGGATGGCAAATTTTGCTGGACTTGGGGAGGCGGCTCGAGTACGCTCACCTGCAATTCATGGAGAGCGTGATGGCCGGGATCCAACCAGAACCGCGCCGCATGCGCAATTTTTCCACCTGAGAATCGCAATTGATGGATTTTGCGAAACGAAGCAGCTTGCGACCCGTCCCCTTTTCGCTGAACCCGTCGTTCGCCAGTCAAGTACTCGAATTGGAGTTCGCAGAGGCTCCTCGTTTCGGGGTTTGTGTTTCTGTTCCACAGGCGCCGTGAGTAACGGGAAAGCAGGTTGAACTGGCGAATCGTTGGTGTTGCCTGAGCGTAGTTCCCGCTAGAGTAGCGGGGGGGTTTTCCCGCTCTTTTTGCGTGTGGTGTTCACACGATCAGGTGCTTTTCCTGAAAGGGTGAATCACAATCAGGGCACCAAAAAGGTACCCCAACGGAAGATCTACTTCGGAATATATAGAATTCTGGTCTACCAATGGGAATTTTGCAATGATACATAACAGCTGGATGCTCCGAAAGCTGAATGAGTTGCATTTTTTTACTTCGAGTCACAGTACATTGTGGCACTTCGTGCCAGGGAAAACGCCACAAAAACCTTGTTATAGTTAAATGCGATACAATAAAGAGTCGTAGCAAATGATGTACTTTATAATGCTTTAGAAGCTTTGGTTTGGTTTGGAATGTTTGTACATGAAATCACTTCGATAATCCGCACATCCAGCTGTTCGTTGGAGCGCGAATCTCAAGTTTCAACGAATAAGCCGCACACCGAACGGTCTCAGCACTCCTTGTACGACTACGCACAACAGTGTAAGTTAACCTAATTCGTTTCCTGTTTGAGAGAGTGCTTTGCGCCCTTCCCGCCACGCCGCTTCCGCCACCGCCCCTCCGCCAGCGCTTTTCCGCCAGCGCCCCTTCATCAACCCCCCCCCCCCCCCGTTCCAGCTCCCCCAGCCCTCCCAATTTGCCCATCCTTCCTTTCGCGCTTCTTTTTTCCGCGAATTGCGTTTGCTCTTTCGCCTCGCAGCCGTCCCGCTCCTGCCGTCCACCCGCCTACCCTCCTCTCCCCTCCGAAGCGTCCCTAGCTCGCCTAGATTGAAGTCACTCCGGATCGCCTAGATTGAAGTCACATAGAGAATTTATTCCCAAAGGTGACTCCGTTCTTCCCTTTCTCCTTGCGCTCACTTCTCCTCTCCCCCCCTTCTCTCCCTCCCTCCCTCCCTCCCTCCCTCCCTCCCTCCCTCCCTCCCCTCCCTCCCTCCCCCTATCCCTGCGTATACCAGGGTTGCGGCAATCATGAGGCAGCGAGCAGCAATGGACGGCGACTCGAGCGGGGGCGGCGCCGCTGCTAGGAAGGGTGGCGAGGAGCCAGAGTTCCTCGACTCGCAAGGTTGGGCGGTGGTGCTGGGAAGGGTGGTGCTGGCAAGGGTGGTGCTGGCAAGGGTGGTGCTGGCAAGGGTGGTGCTGGCAAGGGTGGTGCTGGCAAGAGTGGTGCTGGCAAGGGTGGTGCTGGGAAGGGTGGTGCTGGCAAGGGTGGTGCTGGCAAGGGTGGTGCTGGCAAGGGTGGTGCTGGCAAGGGTGGTGCTGGCAAGGGTGGGATGCATGGCAGTGGCAAGGGTGGGAAGGGTGACGAGGAGCCAGAATTTCTCGACTCGCAAGGTCGTGCTGGGAGTTGATTTTGCATGGCAGTGGCAGGGATGTGAAAGGGTGACGGGTTTTCAGAGTTCCTCGACTCGCGAGGTCGTGTGGTTGTGCCTCCCTCTTCCGCTTTACTTCCCTTAGAGGGAGAGTTGGGATGCGTAGCAGTGGCAGGAAGGTGGATGAGGAAGGGAAGGTGAGGCAGATTGTGCAGAAATTAAAAATGCTGTGATGCATTGCGTAGCAATGGCATGTCATGTGGCCATGGCAATGAATGTGGCATGGCATCATGGCATGGCATGCATGTGGCATGGCATCATGGCATGGCATGCAGAGCAGGAGGCGATGATTGCAACTTTTGAGAAGCAACACCGCGAGTCATTTCGTTTCTGGAAGGTCAGTGGGTGTGTGTATTCTTTAGTTTCTGGAAGCAACTATCGATCCCTGTTCTGTCCTGTGTATGTGCCTGCATCTTACTCAAGTAGGACTTGGCAAGTGACTTCCGAGTCGAGTGTGTTCACGTGTGCTTCTTATGACTTCTTCCGTACACTTAATCTGGGTTATAAACAGAAAGTGGCACTTATCGTGCCTGCCTGTTGCGGTCTGTTCCAACATGTGCCTCTCATGGCTTCTTCCGTACACTTCATCTGGGTTATAAACAGAAACTGGCTCTATTGTGCCTGCCTGTTGCGGTCTGGTCCAACATGTGCTCCTCAGGGTCCCATTGTCGCCCTTACTGTGCGCTACAATTCCTGTGGTCCGTTTTTCCCCTGTACTGCGCGCTACAATTCTCATTGTCTATCTTGCAGATCTGCATATCGCTGTTGCTACTCGCATATGCATTGTTCATGGTGCATGGGGTCATCAACCTCGTGGTCTCTCCCTGGAGCCAGGTGTGTGTGTGTGTGTGTGTGTGTGTGTGTGTGTGTGTGTGTGTGTGCGTGTGTGTGTGTGTGTGTGCGTGCGTGTGTGTGCGTGCGTGTGTGTGTGTGTGTGTGTGTGTGTGCGTGCGTGTGGGTGTATGTGTGTGCGTGCGCGTACGCGCGTGTGTGCGTGCGAGCATGCGCAGGCGTGCGCGTGCGTGGGTGTGAGTGTGTGCATGTGTGCGTTTGTGTGTGTGGAAAATCCATGTGGCAATTTTGGCACAGCACCAAATGCATCAGCATCCTCATTTTCATGCTATCCCTCCTCTTATCCTCTCATCATCCTCTCATCTCTCGACGCTCCTGCCTCTCTTCGTTTTCTCGGCCTACCTTATCATTGTGCGTCTTCGTGTTCCTCCTCGTGTTTCAACATTGCTGTTGTTTCTCTCTTATCATCGAAGCTCCTCGTAAGAATTGCTCCCCATTTTGGTCTGCACTCCCGAGTTAGACATAATAATTCGATTGCTTTTTTTTTGTTTTTCCCACTTCCCTTTGCTATATCAATCAGAGGAGGAATGCAGAGCTGCGGCAAATTCTCGACTTCAATACCCTTGCTGCTGCTGGTATGCCACCTCTCCCTCCTGCTCCTTCTCTCACCTGCTTCCCACTCGTCACATCCGTATAGCGCCCTCTTTGATACTCCTGTTTTATTGTCATAAAAAACAGGGAAGGCAGGTCCCACCCACACCTTCCAACTTTTCTCCCTTCCACTCCGTCTTTCCTCTCTCTCGAATGTGGCATCTGTAACAACCTCTGCCCTTTGCCTTCACTCTCTCTGCCTGCGCGGCTCCACGCACCCCCTGCTCTTCACCCTCCCTATTACTCCCCTTCATTCCCTCTCCCCTCCCTTCCTTCCCTTCCCTTCTCTCCTTTAGGGCATCAGTAGCAGCCTCCGTCTTTCTCCCTGCCTCCCTCTGGCTGCATGGCACCACACACCACCTTCTCTTCATCCGTCCTCTCATTCCGCCTCCTCTTTTCTCCCTCCCTCTCCGTCCCTCCTCTCCCTCAGACGTGGCATCAGTAGCAGCCTCCGCCCTTCTCCTCGCTTCCCTCTGGCTGCACGGATCAACTCGTCACCTTCTCTTCACCTCTTCTGCTGCTCTCTCCGCTGCGCTTGCTCTCTTCTGGTGCTACACCCTGCTACAGTAAGTATCACTGCATAAATTTCCGGTTACAGGTGACTCGAAAGGTTGTTCTCTCCACTGCACCCGCACACCAATGGAGCTACACCGTGCTACAGTAAGTATCAACGGTTGCAACGTAGCAGTTCTTCTAGTGCTACATCCTTCTACAGTACGTATCTACTTTTGCATCACCCTAGTGTTTCATCTGGTGCTACACCCTGCCACAGTACGTATCGCTGCCTAACCCTGCCCAATTGTAGTATTGATTCACTTATGAGGCGACTCAAAAAGGTGTTTCCCCCACAGCACTTGCACAACCCATGACCGTGTTGCAAATATGTGGCGGCAATTCTGTGGGCAGTCCATGTGGCATCATTTATTCCCCTTGCTCTCTTGTGTGCCACAATCAAACTGCCAGGCTGGCAACACCGTTCCGGTGGCGGCTCTTCTGGTTACCCCTCACAAATCCAGTGTAAGAGTGCTTGTCACCCCTGCTTCTCTCATGTCTGTTCAACCCACCTGCATCTCCAGTTGTTTGTTGGCCTGTTACCATCCCACCAATGCACGTTACGCAGCTTCTTCGCCACTTCTGTGTTACACATTTGTTCTTGCTGAGCTATTATTGATAAGCGTCATAGTGTTCAATTGATACTCAGCTGTGGTACTTTTTTTTTCTCCCTGCGCAGGTTTGTACTGCTTGCAGTGTACATCCACCATTCATTCAGCAGCGTGGAAAGAGAGATTGCAAAGCTTCGCGTTCTCAAGTACGACCACAAACGAGTTTAAGGTCTTAGAGGACAGAGCCTGTCTACATTGCACACACGTACCACGTTACATACAAGGTAGTAGCAAATGGTGTTAAAGCCAAGATGAGAAAATGGGAAGAAAGAAAGCAAGAAAGCAGAAGCCAAAATGGGAAGAAAGAAAGCAAGAAAGCAGAAGCCAAAATGGGAGTGGAGGAGAATCCATGGCACAGAGGGCACAGGAGCACACCTGATCCACTTCATCTTTGTAGCCCGAGACTGCCGCAAAATGTGGCCCATACAGGTTTCGAACCTGTGACCTTCGCGTTATTAGCACGACGCTCTAACCAACTGAGCTAATGGGCCGACGACATATGATTTGTATTAAAAATCCTAGCCAGAAACAACTGCAGCTGTGCGGTTTGGTTTCTTTGCTTTCGGTTGAGAGGGCGTTCCGTCTTACCAAAAAAGTAAATGCGTGCGTATGCTCATACCCTGTCTGGATACTCATGTCCTTTTCTTCCCTCTCATTCTTCTGAATGCTTCCCAGCAGGCACGATGAAGAGGTGGCAGCATGCATGGCAGTCATCAGCGCCTTTCACGGCGACCTATGCCATCTCTCGCCCTCGTGTCGCTCACAGACTGTGGGGAGCGTGCGAGTCCGAGCGTCGCAGCTCTTTCATAAGCACCTCTCAGATTCACCATGCCTGAAGCTTGCATGCCTGAACCTTGCATGCCTGAACCTTGCATGCCTGAAGCTAGCATACCTGAAGCTAGCTGCAACCATCCCTGAGATCGGCAGGCGGGAAATCGGCATGCGTGGATTGATAATCGAGAATGGCGATCTCCATGGTGGTCTCACGGCGTCGCGTGCGCAGCGTTCCAACCTTTCCCTTACATAACTCGCTCCATAAGAACCAATCTCCAAATTCCTCTTCTTCTGAGCTCTCTTCCAGCCTTCGCTTCCAGCTGCTTTCAATTCGCACTTGTATCCCACCTTGCGTTACACCGCATCAGCAGCAGCGAAGCACTCGGTCTCAAAGCACTCGGTCTCGAAGCACCCGGTCTCGAAGCACTCAGTCTCGAAGCACTCGGTCTCAAAGCACTCGGTCTCGAAGCACTCAGTCTCGAAGCACTCGGTCTCAAAGCACTCGGTCTCGAAGCACCCGGTCTCTAAGCACCCGGTCTCGAAGCACTCAGGTCTCAAAGCACTCGGTCTCGAAGCACCCGGTCTCGCAGCACTCGGTCTCGCACCTTCACGCCATGGCGACGACTATTCCCGCGCAGCGCCAGGCGCAGCAGCCCGGCGTGCAACACGAGATGGAGCCGCGGCCGTCCGTCACTCGCGAGGCATACAAGCCGGCCGACAAGCTCAAGGTGCGTTTCTGGGTGCATGAATTGAGGTGAATATTGAATTGAAGTTGTTTCTAAGGTACGAAATCATTTTATAGCGTAAGGGCTTGTCAGCCCTTCTAACAGCTAGGATAAGATGCCCATGATTGTCTCAGAACTTCTAGAGTAAACTACTTAGTTCCTCTGCTGCTCTCTTCACTTCTCGTCTCTTTGCAGGGTAAGATCGCGCTGATCACGAGAGGCGATTCAGGCATTGGGCGGGGCGGGGCTCACCATTTCGCATTGGACTAAAGGCTCACTTCACTTGCCTATTTCCTCTGCTTGCTCTCTTCCATTTTCGTCTTATACAGGGTAAGATCGCACTGATCACGGGAGGCGATTCAGGCATTGGGTGGAGCGTTGCACACTACTTTGCACTGGAGGGAGCGGCGGTGGCGTTCACGTATGTGTCGCCGCGGGAGGACAAGGACGCCCAGGAGACCCTCCGCTTGCTGCGCGACGCCCAGCGCCCCGAGCACAAGCAGCCGCTCGCCATCCCCGTGGACCTCAGGCACCACGACCAGTGCAAGGAGGTCAGCTCGTGGTGGAGTTTCGTTTCTTGTTGAAAGTGTTCATCTACGATGGAATCTGGTTTTGCTTGTCACAGTTTCTCAATCGTTCGATCTTGCCAAAACGAAAGTTGTGCTTCATGATGCTTCTGAATGCTATTGGACATTCAATTCTTCACATGGGTACACTGGCCATGCAATACTCCTGATGCTGTTCTTATTTTTCTCCGCTTCTGATTCCCTCCATGGGAGCAGGTGGTGCGGAAGGTGGCGGAGCACTTTGGGGGGAACATAGACGTGCTGGTGAACAACGCAGCGGAGCAGCACACCCACAAGACCCTCGAGGAGATCTCCCCTGAGGAGTGGGACCGCACCTTCAAGATCAACATCCACGCCTACTTCTACATGGCAAAGTATAAGTCATGCAAGGATGTTGCATGGTGAAACTGGCTTCTTGCAATGACTTGACAGCACTTGAACGCATCTGGCATGATTGCCCTGAACTGGTTATTGGAATCTGAAAATCATGGTTTTCACAGCCCGGTCTTGGCTCTCCATCATGCGGCAGGTTTACAATTCTCACCTTTGTGTATCTGTTTCTGTGCCTTCTTCGTATCTGCAGGTATGCTCTGCCGCACATGAAGGAGGGTAGCTGCATCATTAACACCACATCAGTTGCCGCCTACAGTGGCAATCCCACTCTCCTCCCCTACTCCACCACCAAGGCTGCCATTGTTGGTCTCACTCGCTCGCTCGCACTCATGGTGGTTGATAAGGGGATCCGCGTGAATGGTGAGCTGAACACTTTTACCCGTAGCAGTATGCGTGAATGGTAAGGTATTATACGAGTCTTGTGACATACATATGTCATCCTTGGTGGTAGGGCTTGTACACATGTACAGTCAGTCAGTGATGCATGTTCAACTGCCACTAAACTTGCTGCTGTTTCACAGGTGTGGCGCCGGGACCTGTGTGGACGCCTCTCGTCCCTGCCTCCTAAGAGGAGAAGCACGTGGAAGGGTTTGGCAAGCAGGTGCCCATGAAGAGGGTGGCCCAGCCGGATGAGATCGCCCCGTCCTATGTGTTCCTGGCATGCGATGACTCCTCGTACTTCACCGGCCAAATGCTCCACCCCAATGGTAAGAAATATGTCAATTTCTTCTCAATATGTTTCTGTATTGACCACATTGTGTGTTATATATTGTGCAGGCGGGATAATTGTGAACGCGTAGGGAGTATTGTGTTCTCTTTGTGCATAGGCTTGTACATAGGAAGGGAGCAGCTGTATCTCGGATAATGTTTTTGCTTTGTGAGATGGTTAATGGTGATAAAGATGGAAAACAGAGAATGAAATAGGGTTGGACTGTGTAAAGGGATGGAAATGTTGGTGGCATGTAAAAGCCTCCAAAAACAATTATAGGGAAATATTTCTTCATAAGGTTGGAACATACGCCTCATATTTCCAGCGATACACTTCAGTACTATCTCTACTATACTGATCTTTCTGGGGTCTGCTTGGAGAGACTCGTCAACTTCAAGCCTCGTCATACCTGACATCTCCCGTACTCCTGCCTCTTCATCTCTCAGACATAACTACGTGTTGCATCCTTGTGTGCCGATCGTAATCCCTGATCCAAATAGCTAGGCTCGGGAACGGCTTTAGCTCGACTGACAACTGCAGAGCACACCAAACGAATCTCGCGATCCGGATAAAACAAGGGAAGAGTGAAACGCTATTCTTGTAGTGACAAAAATTTATACGCCGAGATAGAGGGTCGCGATGCCTCTAGCTCTGTCAGATGGGGTCGTCAACAGCATGGCTGTCGGCGCGCTCTTCAAGGACTATGTACGCTCGCTCTCACTCCTCTCTTATGTTGCTCCGCAATCTCGCGTCTCGTCGTTTTATGTTTAACGACTATGTACGACCGCCCCGTTCCCTCCGTTACGGAATGCTCGTAAGTATGGCTCCGTGTCATCTGTATTCGAGGACTATGTTCGCTCGCTCGTTTTCTTCGCGAGTGTGATGCGTCTCCGTTTTTTTTCGCAACTGATGCACAGTATAACGCCTCCCTCCAACTTTGTCTAACGTATGGTACGCCCGCTCATTCTCGTCGCTGATTGCGCATGCTCTCCTAGTCCTCCCCTTGTCTTTCTCTTCTGAAGCATGACTAGTTCCTCGGTTTCCCTCCTCCACAGTCCTCTTCTCTCAGTGAGACTGATGTCTTGTATTATCTAATGTCCACGTCTGTGTGTTCTTCCCTATGCCGTTGGTTTTCTGCAACTTCTTCCTTCCACCTTCCCACTTGACATACCCTCACTGGCCTTCCTTTCCCTGTTGGTTTCCATTTGAAAAGAACGGTCGGATCAACTCAATGGATTTTCATCGGACGGAGGACCTTCTCGTGACGGCTAGTGATGACGAGTCCATCCGAGTCTATGACACGTCAAATGCCACGTAAGCATGACGTGATGCTCCTTGCATGTTTGCTCTAGAAAGCAAACCAGGTCGTCTTTTCATGCAACCACTCTCTCCAGGTCATTTCTCTTCTTAAACGTTAATGACATGCTCAATTGATATGCACATGTTGGATCAATTTGATGTCTTTGACTGCACGGCACCGCATGGCACGGCACGGCACGGCATGGTATGGCATAACATTGTACATGGCATGATCCTGCACGGCGTGGCTGGTTACCCTCTTCCTGTGCCACGTCAGCCTGGTGAAGACGATTCACAGCCGCAAGTATGGAGTGGATCAGGTGGTCTTCACTCACCACCCCTCAGCCGTGCTCTACTCCTCCAAAAACGGCTGGGATGGTAAGTTATTTATCTGGATGGTTGAGTGAGTTTGGAAATGGCTGGTAGTGCTTTCTTGAGTGACAACACAGCTGGTTCGAACTCACCACCCCTCCGCCGTGCTCTACTCCTCCAAAAACGGCTGGGATGGTACGTTCTGGATGGTGGGATCTGGATGGTGGGTTCTGGATGGTATGTTCTGGATGGTATGTTCTGGATGGTATGTTCTGGATGGTATGTTCTGGATGGTATGTTCTGGATGGTATGTTCTGGATGGTATGTTCTGGATGGTGGGATCTGGATGGTATGTTCTGGATGGTGAGTTTCAGATGGTGGGGGTGGAATGGAAATGGCTGGTAGTGCTTTCCTGACTGACGACATACCTGGTTGTGATTCCCCACTCCATTTGCTGTGCTCCAATTCCTCTGGCATTTCCCTGTTCCTCTGCTTGGATGGTGCGTTTCGTTTCTGTTTATAAAATGCTCCGTAAAAGTGGCCTCCCTATCTCGCTTTTTCCCTCCTCCCTCTCTTTGCATTCCCCACCCCCCCGCCCACCAGAATCGCTGCGCTATCTATCCCTCTACGACAATCGTTATCTACGCTACTTCAAAGGTCATCGGGACAAGTGAGTGCCCCAGTCGTTACCAGATTGGAGTGTCTTAGAGGTCAACTCTAGTCGACCCTTTCTCTCCCCTCTTCCCCCCCCCCCCCCCCTCCTCCCCCTATTTCCGTCTCTCACCAAAGTCCTCTCCCTGTGCATATCCTTTAAGAACGACTCCTTCCCCTCTCTCTCGACACTCTCCTGGGCTCATTGTCCCTGTTGCACTCTCGCCCCTCTCTCACCTGCAGAGTCGTCTCTCTGTGCATATCCCTCCAGAACCACTGCCCTTTTCTCCTCTCCCCCTCGATTATGCTGTTCCACTCATTTCCCGTCCAGCGCTCTGTTGTCCCCCATCCAATCGACTTTCTCCCTTCCTCGCCAGAGTCGTCTCCCTGTGCATGTCACCCAAAAACGACTCCTTCCTCTCAGGAGCCCTCGACCACACTGTCCGACTGTGGGACCTCAGAACGTGCGAGTGCCAGGTCAGCAGCATACGGTTGCCAGTTCAGAAGTGTGGTTTGACCCATGGGAGTTTTCAGTCGACTCAAGAAGTGAGTTTTGAGTCGAATCAAAACTCAGAACGTGCGAGTGTCAGGTTAGCAGCCAACGGTTGCCGGTTCAGAAGTGTGGGTTTGACCCCTGGATCAGCTTCTAACTAGGGTATCGAAATAAAGTGGTTAGTTGTGAGCTTGGTGTTATATGTGAGCTGAAGCAAGTGATTCTAGGCGCCATGTTGTTATGGCGCAACTCACGTCCAACTCCCTCCCTCTCACTTCCAACTCCCTCCCTCTCACTTCCAACTCCCTCCCTCTCTCTTTCACTTCCAGCTCCCTTCCTCGCTCCCTCTCATCCATCCCCACTCGTTCCCCAAAGTCTGATGCGCGTGAGGGGGCGGCCAGCAGTGGCATTCGATCAGCAGGGGCTCGTTGCTCACCCTTGCCCTGTGCTGCTCCACCCATCCGCTCCCCGTCCTCCCATCCTCTTAACACTTCCTTCCCCACTCATTCTCCAGGGTCTCATGCACGTGAGGGGGCGGCCAGCAGTGGCATGCGATCAGCAGGGGCTCGTTTGCTTCACCCTTGCGTTGTTTCCCAATGCTCCGCCCATCCTTCCTCACATCCCATGGATCTCTCGTATTGTCCCATCTTCCCATCTTCCCCCCACGCAGGGCTTAATGCGAGTGAGGGGGCGGCCAGCAGTGGCATTCGATCAGCAGGGGCTCGTCTTTGCAGTGGCCATGGGGGGAGGCGCGGTGAAGCTGTTTGATGCTCGCTCGTACGAGAAGGTGCGTCTCGCAATCCAGCGACCTCTTGTCTCCAATCTTGGCCGTCCGTTCCGTTTGGTCTCCCATCCCATCTGACCAACCATGAATCCACAGACCTATGCACTAATTCCCGTCTTCTTCCGACCCACATAACCATGGTTCTAGGTGCTTATCCACACAGCCTATTCCCAACCGTGGGTCTTATGCGTAAGAACCCTGGGTTGTCTTCCCGCCCACATAGGGTTTGGGTGCATAACCACCCAACGAACCTTCCCATCGCCCATATCCCCTCCCCGCAGGTTCCCCTTTGGCACATGCTGATGAGGGGGTGATGGGGGCGATGGGGGTGATGGGGGTGATGGGGGTGATGGGGTGATGGGGTGATGGGGGTGATGGGGTGATGGCGGTGATGGGGTTGATGGAGGTGATGGGGGTGATGGCGATGATGGGGTTGATGGGGGTGATGGGGGTGATGGGGGTGATGGGGGTGATGGGGGTGATGTGGGGTGATGTGATGAGATGGGGGTGATGGGGGTTGATTCGAGGTCTCACCGATGTCCCTCCTCCCTGCAGGGTCCCTTTGACACGATGCATGGGGACGAGGACGATGGGGAAGCTTGTTGCCGTCGTTGACATCCATCAAGTTCAGCAATGACGGCAATCAGATCCTCTCTTCCCCTTTACCCCTCCCCTCCTCCGCTGCCCACTCTCTCTTTCTCTCTCTGCGCTTTCTCTCCAAATTCATCCCCCTCTTTCTCCGCATCCTACTCCCCCTCCCCCTCCCCATCAGGGTCCCTTTGACACGATGCTAGTGGGAGGAGACGAGGACGAGGTGACGTCCATCAAGTTCAGCAACGACGGCAACCAGATCCCCTCACCTCCTCCTCCCATGATCCTCCACCCTCTCTCCTCCAATCTCTCCCCCCCCACAACTTGAAACCCCCGGCCCCCCCGTCCCTTCCCCCCTCCCCACAGGGTCCCTTTGATACAATGCTGGTGGGCGGGGACGAGGACGAGGACGAGGTGACGTCCATCAAGTTCAGTCATCATTAGGGTAACACTCATATTTCCTTTTCCATTCCAACAGGGTCCCTTTGACACAATGCTGGTGGGGGGAGACGAGGACGAGGTGACATCCATCAAGTTCAGCAACGATGGCAACCAGATCCTCGTCTGCACTCTCAACGGCCGCATATACCTGCTGGACGCGTTTGAAGGGCAGAAGGTGGGTCCTTTTTCCTGCTCCAGTGGGGTTGTCTGCACCTTTAGGCACCAACAAATTCCCTGCACAGGGTGAGTGGGGGTTGACCGCACAGGGTGAGTGGGGTTGACCGCACAGGGTGAGTGGGGTTGACCGCACAGGGTGAGTGGGGTTGACCGCACAGGGTGAGTGGGGTTGACCGCTCAGGGTGAGTGGGGTTGACCGCACAGGGTGAGTGCGCAGCATGCATGGGATGCCTGCACCCTCCTCAACGGCCGCATCTACCTACTCGATGCGTTCGAAGGGCAGAAGGTGGGTCCTTTTTCAGTGTCGCATAGGTGTTGTAAATGTAGTGTAATGTAAGGCTGTGATACACTAGTAGCTGTCTGCACCCTCAACGGCCGCATGTACCGGCTGGATGCGTTCGAAGGGCAGAAGGTTGGCTCCTTGGTGATTCGATCTTCTTTTCATATGAATAGGTTGAGATTCTCTGCAGTGGGGTTGTTATTGAATTCGCTGCACACTCAACGGCCAAACCTACCCGCGATATGCACTCGAAAGCCAGAGTTGTGTCTGGGTCTGTGGCACAGGGTGTGGCACGGGCTGTAGCGCAGGCTGTGGCACACGTGGTGACTGGGGATGTAGAGCGGAGCTGTGGCATAGGGTGTCACACAGAATGTACATGCCCTCCCTCCCTCCCGCCCTCCCTCCCTCCCGCCCTCCCTCCCTCCCGCCCTCCCTCCCTCCTCACTCCTCCCTCCCTCCCTCCCTCCCTCCCTCCCTCCCTCCCTCCCTCCCTCCCTCCCTCCCTCCCTCCCTCCCTCCCTCCCGCCCCTCCCTTCCTCCTCCCTCCTCCCTCCCTCCCTCCCTCCCTCCCTCCCTCCCTCCCGCCCTCCCTCCCTCCCGCCCTCCCTCCCTCCCGCCCTCCCTCCCTCCCTCCCTCCCTCCCTCCCTCCCTCCCTCCTACCTCTCCCTCCCTACCTCCCCCTCCCTCCCTCCCTCCCTCCCTCCCGTCCCTCCCTCCCTCCCTCCTCCCTCCCCTCCCCTCCCTCCCTCCCTCCTCCCTCCCGCCCTCCCTCCTCCTCCCTCCCGCCAGCCTCCCTCCCTCCCTCCCTCCTCCATCCCTCCCTCCCTCCCTCCCTCCCTCCCTCACCTCCCTCCCTCCCTCCCTCCCCCTCCCTCCTCCCTCCCTCCCTCCCTCCCTCCCTCCCTCCCTCCCTCCCTCCCTCCCTCCCTCCCTCCCTCCCTCCCTCCCTCCCTCCCTCCCTCCCTCCCTCCCTCCCTCCCCTCCCTCCCTCCCCTCCCTCCCTCCCTCCCTCCCTCCCTCCCCTCCTCCTCCCTCCCTCCCTCCCTCCCTCCTCCCTCCCTCCCTCCCTCCCTCCCTCCCTCGCTCTCTCCCTTCTTCCCTCCCTCCCTCCCTCCCACTCCTCCCCCTCTTCACTGGTGCCTGAACAATGGTACTCTCCATCCCTCCCCTCCTTACTCCTCCCTTGCTTCCTCCTCTCCCTCCCACCACCAGCTACACACTCTCTGTGTCGTACCTGACATTGACGGTGCCCCGTTGGAGGCCTCTTTCAGCCCAGATGCCAAATACGTCGTATCAGGTACATTTAAGTCATAATATTCTCACTACTTACAGATATTCAAATACTCTACACCCGCCTATTCCCGTCTGCCGCCCATTCATACGTTCTCTGCTTTGGGTTATATCTCGCTTCACTGTTCCAAATCTTGTCACTGCTGCTCCTGACACCCGACACGAACTGCTTTCAGAATCCTATGATGGCAAGAATGTGCATGTCAGCTCAGTTGTTGCTTTCTGCGTTCTGCTCTCGCTCTCCAATCTTCTCTCCTCTCTGCTCCCTGCTCTCTGCCCTCTCCTTGCTGCTCTCTGCTCTCTCCTCGCTGCCCTCTGCTCTCTCCTTGCTGCCCTCTGCTCTCTCTGCTCTGCTCTCTGCTCTCAGGCTCGGGTGATGGCACGGTGAAGGCTTGGAGTGCCACCACTGGCGCTCAGGTTGGCTCCCCTTCCTCCCCATCATCTCCCGTTGCTCTTTTTCCCCTTTCCCTCTTCCTTTTCTGTTCTCGCTCGCTCGCACATGGAACCACATATTCTATGATGCATGCATGCAAGCACACTTGCAATGACGCATGTGCAAGCACCCTTGCAATAAGGTGTGCAAGCACACATGCTATGACGCACGCAAATACACATGAAAGCACATAACCCTCTACCCTTTTCTCCCATTCCTGAATTCCTCCCCTCATTTCCCCAATGCAGGTGGCAACCTGGGGTAACCATGCTGGGGTGCCATCGGTGGTAAAATGGGCCCCCCGTCGGCTCATGTTTGCCACAGCATCCGTGCTATTAGCCCTCTGGATACCCGACTTATCCAAGATCCCAAGGCCCGGGTGATAGCAAAACAATTTTGTATATGCTAGCTTCTGTGAATTATCAGCTTGTGGATACAGCATGTGAATATAATACTATGTTCTGAAGTTTATGAACTGTACAGCCATGAAAATACCCTATTTTTCTTCACCATCGGTGATTTGAGTGAGGAAAATAATCGACTCCCCACTTTTGTGCGCGCACTGGTGTTGCTTGTAACGGAGCTGGCGCTCACCCCCGTCTTCACCTCAACCATCTCCTTCGCTTCCACGTTGCAATGTCTTCCTGGCCGTCCTCGACGAACTTAAAGGAAAACGGCACAGCGACGCGTCGAGCGAGGCGCGCCGCGAGAGTCGAGTCGGTGCGGGTCGGGACTTCTCCAGCCACGTCAACTCCTCCTCGTGAGCAACGGTCCACCGTTGCTGCGCTTCGACCAACTCAAGCGCCGCATCGCGAATGCGGCAGCGAGCGTTATCCACCCATCCCGGATCGCACGCTAACGCAGCGTCGGCACAGCCGCACCGCGAACCAACGCTGCTCCGACAGTTAGGACAAATCGAGAGGTCGGGGGCCGCAAAGCTCGCGCGTCGAGTCTGCTTAGAGGCTTCTCTCGCGGAAAACACGCATTTGTCACATGCGTCGCAATCCTCGCCGCAATCTTCGCATGAACCTTCTGAAGCCGTTGAGTCTGACACGGATAGCAAAACCAGCGTCGCAAGGGCATCGCTGGACCACGTCGATTGTTTCATGAGGCCGCTGTCCCATCGTGTGATTCTTTCGTTGATCGAGCTGTGCGACGAGATGTGTGACGAGCTTCGCGAACTTAAACTTTCGAATCCTCTTTCGAATATTCCTGTAGCCCCTGGAACCTGCAAGGTAGGATTTGAACAGCCACGCGCGTAGGGGTCTACAACTCCACGCGCTAATGACCCTCTCGCCGCCGCCGCCGCCGTCGTCGCCCCCCTGTTGGGCGCCGACAGGCTTCGTCGGCACGGCGCTCCGCCGTCCATGTCGACACCCGATTCGAGAAAGTCGGCCCAAGCCGATGTCGCTTCCGCTACTGACGCAACGTGGCGAGAACGCGCGAAGGAGGAAGGCGGTACGCTGGACTCCATTGACTCCTCGGAGTAGAACGTGTTTGGAGGGAAGTAGACTCCTGAAAAGATAGAAGCTGAGTTGAGATGCTCTATCACTAGACCCGTGGGAAGTAAGTGAGGAACGTCACAACCCGACGGCACAAACCGAGTCGACGCCCAGTCACGTCTGTATTAGCGAAGCTAGAAGCACGGCGGCGAGCACCGAATATGCGCCAGCTGGAAGAATCCATGTTGATTGCACCCGAATCAGGCACTCCAGGTGTAGATGGTGTCGGACCCAGAGTCACTGTGGGCCAATATTTGGTGTGGAAATGATGAGAGTTTCTGTATGGGTTCAGAGAAGAATGGAGTGGTCTTGGCAATCTGGTTCTGGAGCTCACAAAAGTCAATAAGTTGCATACCCAACTATTTTGGTCTTGGGAACCATTTTAGCCCGAGAGGACTAGAAAATCCTAAACTATCGTGTCGAGAAATTCGCTTTCGTCCCAGCAGCTTCGACATTTGCGGCTAGAGGCGGTCTGCTTTTGATTCGGCGTATAACCGTCAGATCGCGGAAGAAACATAAGCAGGGCCACTCGCAAGCTGCCCTGCCAGACTTTTAGAGAAAATGAATTTCCTATCCCCGTAATTTGCTTCCAATTGGCTACGGAAGTGCGACTCGCTGGGGCTACAAGATGCTCAGCCACCTGCAACTGCAATGCAAAGGATTCAAACTGCTGGGTCAGTTTAGAACTCTTTAAACAATCAAAACCAGTGTTCTTTCAGAATACACTAGGCAAATGTTTTACAGTGTAACGCGTGTATCAGAGTAATTTTTTCCTGGGCCGAGCACATGCACCACGCGACAACTAAGACACACCACATTTGCTCCAAGGGATTTGGAGCAGAGGTTTGTTCCATCCATTTTACACATAATATCGTCTTTGGAGATGTTAGCAACAGCCACTCACGCGTGACAAGCTGGAAGAAACCCAGAAGCCACTTGAGGTATTACGTGGACGGAATGAACCGACCGTCTTGTGGGAGATCCTGGAAGCCGCTCTCTCACTTCCGCGTGGCATACTGGCCATCACTTGCAGAATCAAAATCATGGCTTTTACTGACACCTGGGCTAGCTGGATCCAACCTCAAACTTGAGGGAGGTGAATGATAAAAATAATCTTAGTTACAACCTAAACAAGGAGCAAGTGCATGGAGTGGGAGGTGGAATATCTTTGGAGCTTCTGTTGTTACTAGTAGGTTTTGAGGGACGCTGGCGGCGCGATCCGAGTTTCAGCAGTGCATTCAATGCAAGTCCTTTCATCGGAACCTGCGGAAAGTTCCGACGAAGCGTCGATCGAGAAACGTTCTGGAAAGAAGATACGTACTCCATTGGAGACAAACCCCTGTCACCTAGGAGAGTGTTCAAAACTAACAGACCTTCTGCTGAGTCTGTATTTTAATATCCAATCTCGAACAATCATCGATCCCCTCTTCAACGGGGCACATTTCTTGCTGTGCCACACGGTATAGAAATGAACAGGTCTGCACAATCCCGGTCATAAAGTATAAACATATATTCGTACATATGTTACTATGTACGCCAGGCCCCTAGATTCGTTTTGAGCTAGTTATGAGGCATCAGAGTACACCCCTCTTCCTAGTCTGGCTGTCAGAGTTGACCAAATTTAAAGTCTGAAAGTTCAGACTCCGCAAACTTTTCAACGCTGATGTTACAGACTAGCACTCAAATTTTACTCTTGTTTGAGAACACCACAACTAACAATTGTTATATGTATGCATTAGTCTGTCATAGAATCTACAAGATCACATTCCACTACTGCTCATCTACATGCTCCTTCCCAGCCCTTGGGGGCTCCTCCCTGTGCCTTGATGCAGGTGCTGTGAACGGCCGGCGCTTCTTGTAAGCGCGCCAAATCTCGACTACTCCTGGGACGTTAACTCATAGTCTAGCAGTGAGATGCAAAGCAGATCGCTCAGCCTACAATCCTTGATGCTGCCCCTCTGCCACGTCTTGATCAGGTTCTGTCGGAAAAGCCTCGCTCACTCTCGACCGTGCTGAGAGGCAGCACTGCAATCACCACCCAGAGTCCGCCGAGGTTGGGGTACGCCTGCTGCCAATCGGGTGTCCTGAGAATGGCGGTAAGTCCCGTGTGGAACTTACGCTCACTCTTCGGCGCTCTGGCAAGAACTGGACACAGCGTGCGAAGCTCCCTCATGGCCTTCTTCTTGTCAATGCCTGCAAGGGTATAAGAGGCAGCGGTTAGTATAAAGGCCGCGAGAGAGGGGGGAACCGGGTGGCATTTCAAACTAACCTGGTAGTTATCATCTGCGTGGAACAACCGTGACAAGCGACAAGAGCCACTCCAGGCACTGGTCCTACCGCGCGTCCCGGTCCCATTGCGGTTGCCACAAGTCAGGGATAAACAGCCTCACTCCAGAAAGAGACTCAAGGTCGCCAAGCTTGGACTGGAGGTTCTCAACGACATGCTCGACCATGTCGGTGCAGAGCGCCACGCACGCGTCGTGGTGGCCGGGCCCACGATAGTTCGGGTTGGTGCGCTCGTGAAGCGTCACCTTGAAGCGGTTGAGACTGCCATCAGGACGAGCTCCCTCGATCACCATTTCTGGTGACCACGCGGTCCGTGCTTCTCAAAAGAAGCGGTACAGCCTCTCGGTTTGCCCTCCCCCGAAGTCGTCACCACAGTCGACGTAACGGCTCTCAAGATCAATGTCGTACGCACAATCTGTCAAATTATAATGTTGTATAAGCTTTAGTGGGGTAGCCCATATGGGGTACACATTTCTAGGGTTGCATATTTGTATCACTTTCATTCCATAGTCATTCCATTCTCGTTCTAATTTCCTCATGGTATCGAGCAGGTTCCCCCGTGGGAACTGTGCCTAGGGCCCACCACATCGAGTTTTTTTTTTTTTTTTTTTTTCTCCTGCCCGAAGAGCGCTCAGCCCGAGTCGCGCTCTGGGCTCTCACTTCGTCGAGCCGCCCTAGCGGCCCCAACGCCCTAGCGGCCTCGCAGCCCGTCGATTCGGCCCCGCAGCCCTTCACTGCGGCCCCACCGCCCTTCACTGCGGCCCCGCCGCCCTTCACTGCGGCCCCGCCGCCCGTCTCAGCGGCCCCGCCGCCCTTTGCTGCGGCCCCGCCGCCTCTCTCGCTGCGGCCCCGCCGCCCTTCTCAGCGGCCCCGCCGCCCTTTGCTGCGGCCCCGCCGCCCGTCTCAGCGGCCCCGCTGCCCTTCGCTCCGGCCCCGCCGCCCTTCGCTGTGGCCCCGCCGCCTCACATTGCAGCCCCGCCGCCCTTCCCTGCGGCCCCGCCGCCTCACACTGAGGCCCCGCCGCCCGTCTCAGCGGCCCCCGCCGCCCTTCGCTGCGGCCCCGCCGCCTCTCTCGCTGCGGCCCCCGCCGCCCTTCTCAGCGGCCCCGCCACCCTTCTCAGCGGCCCCGCCGCCCTTCTCAGCGGCCCCACCGCCCTTCTCAGCGGCCCCGCCGCCCTTCTCTGCGGCCCCGCCGCCTCTCTCACTACGGCCCCGCCGCCCTTCTCAGCGGCCCCGCCGCCCTTCACGGCGGCCCCGCCGCCCTTCACTCCGGCCCCGCCGCCCCTCCCACTGCGTCCCCGCCACCTACCTTGCGGCCCCCGCCGCCCTACCACCACCGCCCTACCGCCCTACACCGCCCGCGCCGCCCGAGCCGCCCGAGCCGCCCGAGCCGCCTGAGCCGCTGAGGAGCCGAGCCGCCCGAGCCGCCCGTGCCGCCCAAGTCGCCTGAGGAGCCGAGCCGCTGGTGCCGCGGAGCTGCAGTTGCTGCTGAGTCGTCCGAGCAGCCGTGTTGCCGTGTTGCTGTGCTACTAAGCTGCCCGAACCGCCCTGTCTAGTGAGAGCAGCGCTTCTATCACTGCACTGGCCCTGTCGTACAGTTGGTACTGCTAGTCTACTGTTGTCATGGCTACCCCTAGTGTCCTCGCGTTTGACGCTGAGGGTCGAGCCATTGACTTTGAGGTCTGGGTCGACGACCTGCAGCTGTTCTTACAGTGCGATAGGGCAGACGGTCTCTCTCTCTTTGACCTCACCTCTGACGCCTCTCCTGCCCCTACTGCTGATGCTGACCCCACTGTTCGCTCCCAGTGGGCCACGCGCGATGCTGCTGCACGTCTTCCTGTGCGTCGCCACCTGCCTACCACTGAGCGCGCGCACTTTAGTCAGTACAAGAGTGCTCACACCTTATACGACGCTGTAGTTGCGCGCTATTCTTCCCCTGCCACTGCTGCACTGAGTCGCCTCATGCTACCGTACCTCTTTCCTAACCTTGCTGCCTTTCCCACAGTCGCTGACCTCATTACGCACCTCCGCACTAGTGACACTCGATACCGCGCCGCGCTGCCTGCTGAGTTTTGCGCCAAAACCCCCCCCCCATGTACATCACTCTCTACTATATAGTAACCCTTCTTCCTGACTCCCTTCGTGTAGTCAGGGACCACTTCCTCTCAGTCTGTCCCACCACTCTCACTGTTGACCTCTTAGAGGAGGCCCTCCTAGCAGCGGAGAAGACCATAGTCGCTGTAGGAGCCTCTCGTGGTGACCCTCGCACCCCCATCTTTGAGGGGTGTTCTCCTTCCCCCCTTTTGCCCCCTGTCGCCTCTGCCGCTGCGGCCGACCTCGTTGGTCTTGAGTCGGTCGGTGCGGCGTCTGCCCCTAGCGGGAGACGCCGCTCTGGCAAGGGCAAGGGGGGCAAGGGCGCGGGTGGAGCTAGCGGGGGCGGTGGAGGTGGCGGTGCAGGCGGCGGAGGGAGTGGGGGTGGTGGTGGGAGTGGTGGCGGGGGTGGAGGTGTCGATGGCAGCAGTGGAGGCGGAGGCGGCGGAGGCGGCGGAGGCGGCGGAGGCGGCGGAGGCGGCGGCGGTGCTAGCGGAGGCGGCGGTGGTGGCGGAGGTGGAGGAGGCGGTGGTGGAGGAGGTGGCGGTGGTCGGGGTGGCGCTTCGCAGCGGAGCAGCCCTGGTGGTGGTCAGCGCCAGCAGAAGCAGCAGCAGCAGCAGCAGAGCTCTCGGGACATCCCCCCCCCTCAGCAGCTCCGTGAGTGGTACGCACAGCGTCAGCGTGGTGGGGGTTTTGGTCCGTGCACCTACGTCCTTCGCTCCGGCGACCGCACGGGTGAGCAGTGTGGGGGTGCCCACCCCACCCAGCGCTGCTTTGGCCGCCTGATGGACGCTTGGCGTCAGCAGTTCCCGGAGGCCAGTGAGATCCCCCGCTGGGGAGAGCTTTCTAGGGCAGGCGTAGCTATCTATGATCTTGACTTTGATGCTATCCTTGCTGCCATGTATGCTGTGACTATTAGTGATGAGGGTGACTGTTACCGGTGCTTTTCGCCCGACCCGGGCATTGGTACTGCTGCTCTTGGTGCTGGTGATGCTGCTCCTCTAGGTGCCAGTGCGTCTGCGCCCTCAGGTGCTGGTGAGTCTGCGCTCTCAGGTACCACGTCGGCTTCGGCCTCCCTCACCTTCACACTTGACTAAGGGGCTTCTCGCTCCTTCTTTTGAGACCGCACCACACTCACGCCGCTTGGTCGGCCGGTTGCAGTCTCCCTGGCAAACCTCTCTGGGGGTCCTGTCCTCTCTCACTTCTCCACTGTCCTCCCGTGTCCGGCTGCCCCCTCTGGCACCTTGTCTGGTCTTTACCTCCCCTCGTTCTCTACAAACTTGGTGAGTGGTGCTGACCTGCAGGATGCGGGGGTTCACCAGTTTACTCCTGCGAGTAAGCGGGTGACCCACTGCTCAGACGCTCGCACAGGCCGGCACCTGGCCACGTTTACGCGTCGGCCGGGGTCGAGCCTCTACACCCTGACCACTGGGTCTCCTCCTGTCCCTGCGTCTAGCTAGGTAGCTGCGTCGGGCCAGGTGTTTGCTGCAGCGTCCAGGTCTGGTCCTGAGTCTGCCCCCTGCTCGTGTCGCCTCCTGTCTCACGAGACTCTCCTGTGGCACCACCGTCTTGGTCACCCCTCCTTGCCTCGTCTCCGAGGCATGGCTTCCCGTGTCCTTGTCTCTGGTCTCCCCCGGTCCCTCCCTCCCTTACTCCAGGACCTGGTCCTTCCTATGTTCCCTGTGTCGAGGGGCGGCTCCGGGCTGCCCCTCACTCCTCTCAGTTTCCCCCGACAGAGGCCCCGCTGCAGACGCTTCACATGGACGTGTGGGGCCCGGCTCGCGTCCGTGGACAGGGTCACGAGCGCTACTTCCTGCTGGTGGTTGATGACTACTCGCGTTACACCTCAGTCTTCCCCTTGTGCAACAAGGTGATGTCACTGAGGTGTTGATCGACTGGATCCGCGCAGCTCGTCTCCAGCTCAGGAGGAGCTTCGGCTCGAACTTTCCTGTTCTGCGTGTGCACTCTGACCGAGGCGGAGAGTTCTCCTCTGGTCTTCTGCGAGCCTACTGTCGTGCGCGAGGCATCCGCCAGACCTTTACGCTTCCGGACTCTCCACAGCGAAATGGGATTGCTGAGCGCCGCATTGGCATGGTCATGGACGTCGCTCGTACGTCCATGATGCATGCGGCTGCCCCCCATTTTCTGTGGCCGTTTGCGGTTCGGTACGCGGCGCATCAGATCAACCTTCACCCCAGGGTCTCCATGCCGGAGACCTCCCCAGCTCTGCTATGGATGGGGAAGGTAGGCGATGCGTCTGCGTTCCGTGTTTGGGGATCTCGGGCGTTTGTCCGCGACTTGTCTGCGGACAAGCTGTCCCCTCGTGCTGCTCCTTGTGTCTTCCTTGGCTTCCCCCCTGACTCACCAGGGTGGCAGTTCTACCACCCCTCCTCTTGTCGTGTTCTGTCCTCCCAGGACGTCACGTTTGACGAGTCGGTCCCCTACTACGTCTCTTCCCCTACCGCACTCCTTCCCTCCCCCCGCCGCCGCACTTCCTTGTGCCAGGTCCCCCCCAGGTAGACCTCCTCCCCCCTCAGGGTCCTGCCCCTTCAGGTGTGTCCTAGGTAGACGCAGTCAAGCCGGTCGAGGTTGCTGGTGACTGTGGTACTGCTGCGGGTGCTGAGCCTGGGGGTGCTAACTCTGGGAGTGCTACGCGAGTGGGTGCTGAGCCTGAGGGTACTGAGCCTGGGGTGCTACGACTTGGGGTGCTGAGCGTGGGGGTCCTTTGCCTGGGGTTGCTGCGTCTGGAGCTGCTGAGCCTGGGGGTGCTGCGTCTGGAGCTGCTGAGCCGGGGGTTACTGAGTCTGGAGCTGCTGAGCCTGGGGGTGCGGAGCCCGCGGCCGCTGGACCTGCTCGTGTGGCGTCTGGCGGTTCTGGGCCTCGTGGTTCTCCGGGTGCTTCGTCTCGGCGGAATCCACTCTCTCCACAGGAGCTGCGCGAGTGGTTTGCCCGGCGCTGGAGTCGTACTGCTTGAGCTGGTGCTTCTTCGGCTGCTGAGGGTGCTGGTGCCGCCGGTCTCGGAGGTGCTAGCCCTGGGAGTGCTGGAGCTGCTGTGCCTGCGAGTGCGACTAGAGTCAGAGCTGCTGACTGTGTTGGCGCTGAGGCTACTGCTGTCTGTCCTAGCGGCGGTCCTGCTGCGGGTGCTGCTGGTGCTGCTGGAGGTACTGGAGCTGGAGGTACTGTTGGCGCTGGTGCTGCCACTGAGGGTGCTGGTGTTGTCCCTGCTGTGTTTGGAGGCGCCGCGCGGCCTCGGCCGTACTTTGTTCCGCTCCTTCAGCAGGTTCTTAGTCTTCCTCCTCCCTTAGAGTGTCCACCGCCTGTCCAGTCACGGTTACAATTACCGCCAGCCTCCCACTGCCTGCTCCTTCTCCCTACACTGGTCCTACTGGAGGTCTTTTGTGATCGTCGTGAGCCTGCGTCTCGTCTTGCCTCACCTGTTCGTGCTGCTCGCGCTAGTGGTCGCGGTTCGCGTCAGCGTCCTCCTCTTGTCCCTGGCACGCACCGGATGTCTCTGTGTCCGTCCACTGCTCCTCTGCGTGCCCCTTTGCCTTCTCCTCCTGAGTCCTCTCTTCCTGCCCTTGCCGACCCAGAGTGGGACTCTCTTCGTGCTGCCAGTCCTACTGTCACGCGTCTGCTTGCTACTGTCGTCACCGACCCCTCTTTTAAGTCCACTGCTACGTCTACTCTTGTTGCTCAGCTCGTCAACTTTGCTGCTCGCTGTCGTCTAGACTACGCTGCTAGTCTCGTTGCTGAGTCTGCGTCTGTCTGTCCTCCGTCCGTCGGGGTGAGTGTGCTCTTGGCACGGACGTCCTTGAGGACAGGCAGGAGGAATTCCACTGTTTGGCAGCTGCTTCACCTCATCTTGTGTCCGTACTGCTTACCCCTGAGGGAGACCCGGATGCACTTGACATCCCGACTCCACGCTCTTACGCGGAGGCCGTAGAGGGTCCCTTCTCCTCTCAGTGGCAGGCAGCTATGGATGCAGAGATGGCTTCCTGGAAGTCCACAGGCACCTACGTTGACGCGGTTCCCCCACCTGGGGCGAACATCGTCAGTGGCATGTGGATCTTCAGTGTGAAGCGGCCGCCGGGCTCTCCGCCTGTCTTCAAGGCGCGGTACGTGGCTCGTGGCTTCAGTCAGCGGCAGGGAGTTGACTACTTTTAGACCTTCTCTCCCACCCCGAAGATGACCACACTTCGGGTGCTGCTACACATAGCCGCTTAGCGTGACTACAAGCTTCACTCCCTTGAATTCAGCACTGCTTTCCTGCAGGGTAGCCTTCACGAGGAGATCTGGCTGCGCCGTCCACCTGGCTTCACTAAGACTTTCCCTCCTGGCACCCAGTGGAGCCTCCAACGGCCAGTCTACGGTCTCCGCCAGGCACCGCGCGAGTGGCACGACACACTGAGGACTACACTTGCGGCTCTTGGGTTTGCTCCCTCTACTGCTGACCCGTCGCTGTTTCTACGCACCGACACCTCTTTGCCGCTGTTCTACATCCTCATGTACGTTGACGACTTGGTCTTTGCCACTGCTAACACTGCTGGACTCGCCCACGTGAAGTCCGAGCTGCAGAAGAGACACACGTGCACAGACCTGGGTGAACTGCGCAGCTACCTTGGCTTGCAGATCACCCGGACAGAGCACGCCGCACCATTACCCTGACTCAGTCACACATGTTGCAGCAGGTCCTTCAGCGCTTCGGCTTCACGTACTCCTCGCCTCAGGCCACTCCTCTACCTACTCGCCACTCGCTCTCAGCTCTGCCTTCGGATGAGTCCGTAGAGTCGAGTGGCCCGTACCCAGAGCTTGTTGGCTGCCTCATGTACCTGATGACCTGCACACGACCTGACCTTGCATACCCTCTTAGCATTCTTGCGCGCTATGTTGCTCCTGGGAGACACAGACCAGAGCACATGGCTGCAGCGAAGAGGGTGTTGCGCTACTTGTGCAGTACGTCGGGCATGGGGCTAGTGCTTGGAGGGCAGAGTCCAGTGGTCCTCACAGGGCACGCGGACGCTTCTTGGGCTGACGACCAGGCTACGCAGCGGTCGTCACAGGGCTACACCTTCAGACTTGGTTCCGGCTCTGTTTCGTGGCGGGCTACTCGCTCGTCTTCTGTTCTCGGCTCCAGTTGTGAGGCCGAGATCTACGCCGGGGCCATGGCTGCATAGGAGCTTCGTTGGCTCACCTACCTGCTGACCGGCCTTGGAGAGCCGCCTCGTTCTCCTCCAGTCCTGTACGTAGACAACAAGGCCATGCTGGCCTTGTGTCGAGAGCAGAGACTGGAGCACAGAACAAAGCACATTGCTCTTCGCTACTTCCTTGCTCATGAGCTACAGCAGCGTGGTCAGTTGTGGCTTGCGTACGTGGCCTCTGAGGCCAACACTGCTGATGTTTTTACCAAGGCACTTGCGCCTTGTGATCATCAGCGCTTCTGTACTCAGCTTGGTCTTGTGCCTGTCTTGCCTCACTTGGTCACTTCTTGACCTTGCTTGTACTGTCACATATATATTCTCCTGCTCTTGCTTGCTTAGCCTCTTATATATATATACTGTGCTCCTGCATTTGAACTGGCCTTCTGGCCTTGAACTTGTGCTCGGAATGTGTGGTGACTTTGTGATCCACCCTGAGCTCTGCTTTGCTTTGCTTGAGTGGTCTTGTGACCCCTTGTTCTCCCCCACTTTGCCTATGGAGGTGTGTCAAATTATAATGTTGTCTAGGCTTTAGTGGGGTAGCCCATATGGGGTACACATTTCTAGGGTTGCATATTTGTATCACTTTCATTCCATAGTCATTCCATTCTCGTTTTTCCTCACAATCTGCGTGTGCACCTGCGCGTAGTCGAGCTACAACAAACACATTCAAAAAATTTAGTACAAAGCGGATGACCAACAAACACATTCAAATTTGTACCAAAACATGCAACACGTAGTAGGCAACTTACCTCCCGCTTCTGGAAAACGGAGGAGAGCACGTTGAGCTGCTCCAGTAGGTCCGCAAGGAACCTGATGAGGAACTGGAACCTGTACGACGTGACGATTTTGTACATGGTCTGGTCCTTCCACTCCGACAGCATCACCATGATCGCTGGAAGGACGTGGACGAACCGGGTGACTGCAGCTCCTCGTGAAAGCCACCGCACGTCATGTATGCCCTTGACCTCGAGGTTGGTGGAGGTGAACAGCTCCTACAGCTCCATGAAGCGTTGATGCCACGGTGATGATCGCCCGAGGTACTCTGCGACGGCGCGGATGACATCGTCCATAATGTTGAACGTTGGTATCTCGTCTGCCGCGGCCTTGGCAGCCAACGCCTCCCTGCCAAACAGAAACACACAAATGGGTTAGTGACTGTTAAAACAAACAAAGGGTTAAACAATACAGAGTGTGACACATTAAAACACAAACGCACTTGTACGCGATGCAGTGAAACGAGACCAGATTGAGGATGAGCATTCGCAGGCGAGCAACCACACCGTTTTGACTCCCCACCATCACAGACGCGCCATCAGTGCTCATTCGCAAGATACGCCGCAGGTCAACGCCGAGAGACCTGAGGTGGTAAACCAAAAACTGCACAAAGAAGCAGCGTCAGCCTTCTCAAAGTCAAGTGGGCGATAAACTCCGTGACAACCTGTCCCTCGCGGAGAAAGGTGGCAAACCAATCATGTGTTTGCCGCGGCGACGGTCGGTGCTCTCGTCCAGTGTAATCTCGATGAATGGGCTCGTCAGAAGGTGCTCAAGTTGCGTTGTTTGGAGCTATGTCGCAATTGCTTGGGTGAGTTCTCCAAATCCGTACCTACACAAAGAAAACGTAGTCGTTAGTGACAGTCAAACAGAAACAAAACCAACAGGCATGCTACAGACACTACTTACGTGTTGTAGTACGTGTCGTAGCCCTCCGCGGGAAACCCGAGCACTTTCTTCTTCGCCAGGTAGCGCACCAACCGGATCCACGAGTCCATGGGCTCGTTGGACTTCCCCATGAAGTACAGCGAGTCCACGAGCGAAGACAGCTGCAGCATCTCCAAGTCCTGCGCCTTCTGGTGCATGTCGATGCGCTGATGGCGCCCGTATTTCTGGTACAAGTCCTCCTGGCGCTGCAGAGCAAACGGTGCTTCACCTTCCCTTCGTGCTTTTTGAAGGACTGTGTCTGCACGTCGGTTGCTCCCTCGGTACGCCGCCCACACATGCCATTCAGTCCTGAAAATTCCAAGCAAATACTGCACTAGAAAGAAGGAGCACGAGTGGAGGTTTGAGTAAGGACAAGCCAACTGAAATCGGTGGACCACTTGGATTTGTACCGCACATGCGCTTCTTTGTATTTCAACTCAGGCTTGTCAGCCTTGGGCTTTGAGCTAGCCTGCGTGGGCTTCGAGTTGTCCTGCATGGGAGATGCATCACTGGCAAGAGTCTCAGTGGTCGATGGAGGTGGTGTTGCCCACGCAATTGTGGACTGACGGAACCGCAGGTTTGTCGGTGGCGCGGGACGAGAAGGTGCTTCGACGGACGAATCTTGGCGCACCGCCTGTTACGCGGCTGTCGCTGGTTCAGCGACGACCTCGTGCAGAGCAGCAGAGGCAGTGGGAATCGATGGGCGAATAGAGCTGGGTTGCGACGGTTTAGGTTGCTGTGGATTATGTTTCGGTAGGAGAGATCTAAGGAAGTCTAGACCGGTGAGTGGGTCCGAAGCTGGGCAAACATCAGCATCATCCTCCTCGTCGGGCCCATCATCGACAGCTTCTGAGGCAGCCATTGAGCCTGCCGAGCAGTGGTGCAGCGAGCTCGGAAAAGGGAGGCTGAAACAAGGGCTCCTACACTAGTTTCAGGCCAGGCAAACGGAAAGACATGAGAGAGCCTGGCAAGCACGGTGACGAAGCGGAAGATGAGAGGTCCTTGTATAAGGACCTCTCAACCCCCAGGTGGTCACTGCATGCACGGCACCTGGGCGTGAATGGTGGGAAGCTGGGGT